TATTACTTCAAACTAATTAAATAAGAATTAACTTATTAACTATTTTCTTATAAACTATATATTTCATATTTTTAAATGACAACTTAAAAATGAATTAACTTATATATGTAATTAAATGTTTGAATACAGTATTTTAATAATAATAATAATAATAATAATAATAATAATATAAGTATTCAAATATTTAAATACAGTGTTATAATATTATTATAAATATTATATATATACATATATATATAAATAAAAAATAATTAAATAATTATTTTACATACATATTTTAATATAAATATAATAAATTAAAAAAATATATTTAATTAATAATAATTATAAAATTATAAATATTTATTTATATATAAAAAAATACATAGTAAAATTAATTTATTATAAATGTAATTATCTTCTTAAAAATAATATATATCGTGGACTGGAAACCCAAAATCTAGCGGAGACGAGGACGAAGACTTAATTTCCGATCCCGACGGGGATCTTGGGTGGGGACGGGGACGAAGATGGTTAATAAAGTTGGGGGCGGGGATCGGGGAGGTAAAACCCGCCCCCGCCTCACCCCGTCCTGCCCCATTGCCATGCCTTCCAAATTCAGACACTACTTGTTGGGTCATAAGTTAATTATTAAGACTGACCAAAAAAGCTTGAAAAACCTTCTTAATCAAACATTTCAAACCCCTAAGCAACAACAATGGTTACCCAAATTCATAGGGTATGACTTCACAATGCAGAAAGGAATGGAGATTATTCATTATAGAGATATGTTATCACATGGAAAGGGAGAATTATGTTGCCAAGGGATGATACCTTAATAAAGATGATCATGATTAAATTTCATACATCTAAAGTAGGAGGTCATGCTGGAACTACTAGAGTAATTGCTAGAATGAATACTCAATTTTATTAACACAAAATGAGAGAAGATATAAGAAGGTTTGTTCAAGAATGTGCTATTTGTTAGCAAGCTAAAGTCACTCAATCCTTACTTGCTGGATTTCTTCAGCCACTTCCCATTTCAAACCTCATTTGGGAGAATATTGCTATGGATTTTATCACTTCTCTACCCTTATCTCATGGATACAGTAATATCATGGTGGTAATTGTCAGATTATCAAAGTTTGTTCATTTTATTCTATTGAAATATGGTTTTAATAGCAAGTCAGTAACAGAAGCATTCATTCAGAACATTGTCAAGTTGTATGGGTTCCCAAAATCCATTGTGTCTGATTGGGATAAGGTGTTTATCAGCAATTTTTGGAAACAACTGTTTGTGTCTCAGGCTACTCTAGTTATGACCTCTGCTTACCATCCACAATTCGATGGTAAAACTGAGAACTTAACAAAATTTTAGAAATGTACTTAAGTTGTTTTGTCTTTGATCATCCTAAGACTGGTTGGATATGCTGCCATGGGCTCAATACTGGTATAACTCTTCATTTCATCACAACATTGGCATGTCTCCTTACCAAGTTGTGTATGGAAAATCATCACCACCCATAATTAGATACAAGCATAATTAGCATGATCCAACATATCTAAAAGATTGTTTGATGGGGTTGTTAACTAAGTTGAAAGATAAACTACATCATTCTCAAAACTATATGATGTTGTAAGTAGAGATGTCAATATGGGTTGTAACCCATGAGCCAACCTGGCTCACCACGGTTCGAATCGGATTAGGTTCAATTTTTTTTATTTCTACCGATAATGAGTTAAAAATAAATCTGACTCACTTAACAAATGAGTTAAACGGATTCGAACTGGGTTATGGTAGGTTGACCCGCAACCCACCATATATTTTAAATTTTAAAATAATTATAATAATTTAGTAATCCTAATTAATGTTAATTTTGTTTCTCCACTTTTATTTAATGTGGCCACTATAAGTGAAACTCTCACTCAAACTTATCATTAATTGTTTGTCGCACCACTACATTCATTATTACACCTGGGTCACTTGTCATCCCTCCACCGTACTACTATGTCACCGTATTTGTTAAGTTTGTCGCACCAATGTGTTATAGCGTTTTTCGCGTTTTAATCTCGCATTTCAATCACACCACAACGTTTATCACAACACCACATTTGTCATACCAATACATTCATCATTTCACCACGCTATCGTGTTTCAGTTATACCATAATGTTTGTCGCGCGTTTCAGTTACATTACAACGTTTGTTGGGTCACCGCGTCATTGTGTTGTAGTCTCGCGATTCAATTGTGTTTATTAGAAAAAAAAAACAAAAAAAAATATAAGTTAGTGAGTCAATCCACCTAACCCACCAACCCGTAATGAGTTGAGCCGGATAATGAAATTTCTGGCTCGCTATAAAATGAGCCGAGTTGAACTCGTTTATTTTCAATTTAACCCTTGGTGAGTCAACTCTATGAACCAGGTTGACTCACTTTGACACCCCTAGTTGCAGGCAGATAAAAAGGGAAGGGATGTCCAATTGGAGGTAGACGATCTTGCCTTGGTGAAATTACGACCATACAAACAACATTATATTGTTTTAAGAAAGAACCAAAAATTGAGTCTTAGGTATTTTGGTTTGTTTGAGATATTGAGAAGATTGAGAATGTTCCTTATAAATTGCTTTTACCGGCTTCTGCAAAGATATATCTGGTGTTTCACATTTCCTTGCTTAAAATGTTCCAAGTTAATCCTAAACAGTAATACTTCCCTCTACCACTGACACCAAATGAATTTGGTCAAGTAATGTTGCCATACAAGATCCTTGATGCTCGTGTGATTAACAAAAATGGAAAGGAGAGTTCGAAAGTCTTGGTGCAATGGGATTCATGACAATTCTTGGAAAGATATAAATGAGATGCATAGAGCTTATCCACAATTCAACTTTAAAGCCAAGGTTGTTGTCGAAGGGGAGGTAATGTAACAAGTGTAAAGAAAAACTTTATAGTGGCGAGAGAGTTTGTTGAGCAAAATGGTCACGCGTCAAACGAAGAAAGAAGCATGGGAGTGTGCAAGAGCTCACATAAAAGGAAGGAGAATGTTAAATTTCGTGATTTCATACGTGAAAAGTAGCTTTATGGTACGAATCTTTTCTCTTCTTGAATTTTATTCTCTCTGTCTTCTCTTTAACATTTTTCATATCTAAATCTTGTCTTGAATTCCATTTGTTTCTTGTTATTTTAAGAATGGATCTCTTGCTCAATTTCTACCAATCAATAATGATTATGGTAGTTGATATGATTGTAGTTTTTCATTTATCAATTATTGTGGTTGTATTGACATTTTATTTTAGTTGTTTAAAGTAATAATTGAAGAGTGATTATTTAAATTCCTAAGTTATTAGCACTATTATAGTCATATGAAAAAGATAACCTCATCAACGAACCCATCATAATAGAAATTGAGGAAAGAGTTCGAAAACTTCAAGAAGAGAATGGCATAAAAGTAAAACACACTCAAGAATAAAAGCTTGCCTTAAAAATTGGATGAATGCATACCTTGACACCTCTCTCCTTTTATACTAGTGCATATGGGTTGTTTCCATGGATCTTGGGCTTTGGATAGTTAATCGTAGGCGCATGCTATGTGTTTCTCATTTGCAGTATATGTAAGGCTGCACGACTGTATATCTACAATAAATATATAGCGGCACACCTACTATATACTTACGGTACACTTTTACAAGGAAAAAAATACAATTTTTTTTTCTAATTATCATCTCTTATAATTTTATATATTCAAACCACTTGACCATGTTATCTCTATTACCATGAATGTTGTATAGTTTTTTTTTAATATAGTCATTTATTATTTAATATTTTTAAATAATCACACGAATCATTTTAATATTCTTATTTTGGACTTCTATATATTTTTTCATGCTTCCTTTAATACTCAACACTCATTACTATACAATATAACAAAAATATACTTAAATATTATTAATATAAAGTAGAGTTTATTTTATAAGGTTTTTAATATCAAAATAGTATAATCATGTATAAAATAATTAAATGGTACTACATAATTAATGTATTATAAATTCATTAATCATAATCACAGTAATGGATTTAAACGAGAGAAAGGAAAAAATTATATATATATATATATATATATATATATATTAATCATGGGCTCGACAAAACGACGGATATATATTCCCGTTTCAAAACTTCAGAATATACCCGTTATATATTATAATGTTGAAGTCACGATACATCACTTAGTTTCACTCTATTAAGAATGACACTAATTTATAAAGACTCTTGTTTCACTTTCACCAACAAATATATAATAGATTAAAATTTTGAAATGATCTTAATAAAAAAAATATAAATTAAATATTAACGTTTATTTTAGAATAAAAAAATTATGTTATCTATTAATTAAAATATTTTTATCTTTAAATTAATATTAAGTTTATTTTATAGTTAAAATAGAGTTTTAATTTTTTTATCTATTAATATTTAATTAAAAATTGTTTCAATTTTTATTAACTCTCATATTCCGTTAAGAAGAAAAAATATTTAAAATAATTTGTATATATTATCATCTCTTAATTTATTAAAATACAAAAGTAAAACTTAACTAGTTAAAATTCTAAAACAAAAAATACTTCTCATACGATAAATTCTAAGTATATTATTATAATTATAATGTCATGACATTTATATTCTTAAATAAAATAAATTATTTTATAAATAAATAAAATATAATGTATTGAATGATAACAAAAAAAACACATGAATAAATAATAGAAGATAAAGTATTAATTGTAATCATTAACTTCTATGTCATCCTATAAATAATCTTATGTGGGTTTTATTTGTTCTAATAATCACACCAGTCAGGATCAACATGTTGCATAAATAAGGAACTTTAAATTGTTTGTATATACTAATTATATTTCAAAAGAAAGCAAAACAAAAAGCATAAAAGAAATAATTTTAAGGACTCTAAGTTAAAAGGAAAAGGAAATGATCCAATAAGCCCACTAAAAAAGCAAAAACTAAAATGAAGTTAGGCAACAGTTATAACTTCAAAACCAGTTTCAATCATTGATTCTACTGTAGCAGTATTGTCTTGTTCAACTTCACCAGAGATCTCCTCCAAGGATTTTCCTTTAGATTCAGGAACCAAGAACGTAAAGAGCAACCCCAAAAAGTTAATAACACCCAAAACAACAAGTGTATTTCTAAGTCCAATGCTGTTTTGAGCATATAGGAAGCCAAAAGCCCCTACCATTGCCCCAGCTTTGCCACCTGCAGCTGATATGCCATGGCATGTTGATCTTAGCCTTGCAGGGAAAATCTCTGCAGGCACCACGAATGTTGTGGCATTTGGACCAAAATTGGCGAAGAAGAAGGTCAGTGAATATATGACAACAAACCCAATTTGATTTCCGTTCATGGTCCAGTGGTGGTATGGAATGGCTAAGGCAAACATAAAGACAGTCATAAAGAAAAATCCCATCAATTGAATAGTAAATCTGCCCATCTTATCAATGAATGCCACTGTGAACCAGTAACCAGGGACAGTACTGCAAAGGGCTATAAGGGTTTGTGCTCTAGCAATATTGTAAACCTCTTGGATGGCATTCATGGTTTTCGCTTCTGGAATCCAACCAATTGCACTGAAAATGTCTTTCTGGAAAAGATTCTGACTGTAGTAGGCAATGTCCAACAAGAACCAAGTAATGGTTGTTCCAACAAGGTGAAGTCCATGGCGGAGAAGGAACTGCTTTGTGAACAAGCCAAACTCATTCCCCCTTTCTCTTCTTGTGTCCAATTGCTCAACTTCTTCTGGTTCAACTTCTATCTCAACTTGCAGCACCTTTGACATATCAGTTGCTGCTTGCTTGGCATTCTTGGCAACCAGGGCAGTGTATCTTGCAGTCTCAGGCATTTTCATGCGCCAATAGTATGTTATCAGAGCTGGGAGTGCACCAAACATCAAGATTATCCTCCAAACATAATCAGCTTGTGGCACTGTGGACAAAAGTGGATTAATATGGAATGATGGAGCAGGGTAGAGGGCATTGAAAGCAGCTGAAGCTACGATTGCAACCATGCCACCAGTCAAAATTCCAAAACCTTGCATGGCAAAAACAGCAGCTATGAATGCTCCACGAGTCTTCTTGTTGGCATACTCAGACATGATAGTGGCTGAAAGAGGGTAGTCCCCACCAATGCCAAATCCAAGCCAGAAACGGAAGAAGCAAAGGGTAGTTACAACAGCTTTAGGGTCTTTGCCAAAGGAAAGACCAGAAGCAATTGAGCTTATGACCATGAGCATAAGGGTCATCCCGTAAACACGCTTCCTGTTAGGATCAGAGTACCAGCATAAATACACACAACTAAAATAGAGACGAGAAAAATAACCCTGACAATAGGCAAAAATGAAAATTTTATAATGACCACTCTTTCCTTTTACAATTGGAAATTACCAATACTAGGAAAGTAAAAGAGAAAGAAGGAGAAATATTTGAGATGTATGAAATAAGGGGGGAGGGGCTCCTTTTATAAGAAGGAGGAGAGCCCCCAATTGAAGTTCCCACGGATGTGGGACTTCTTCCTTCACAATCTCCCACTTGAAGATTTTGATGAAATTAATCAAATCTTCACACTATGTCTTCTTCTCTCACATCCATGTTGCTTATGCTTCCGATAGGCCATAGAGGGATCGACTCCATATAAACTTGTCGACGATTAACCTAGGTTTTGTCATTACATCTCGCTAGGTTCTTTTCGAGTGTGGATCTTCCGTAAGTCTACACTTCCTTCTTCTACTACTTCTCGAACAAAATGATATCTTATTCCTATGTGTTTTGTCCTCGAATGAAAGGCTCGGATTCCTTGCAATGTGTAAGGCACTTTGACTATCACAAGACACAACAATTTGTTGTTGCTTGTGACCAAGTTCCCCCATTATTCTTTTAATCCGGATAGCTTCTTTACATGCTTGGGTGACGACCATGTATTCAGCTTCAGTAGTAGACAGTAGCTACCACATCTTGTAACTTGGATAACCAACTTACTGCCTCTCCATCGATGGTAAACACATAACCAGTAGTAGACTTCCTTTTATCCAGATCACCTGCAAAATCCGAATCTACATAGCCTCTAACAACCGCTTCGATCCTCCATAACATAATGCAACATTTGAGGTTCCTTTTATATACCTAAGGACCCTCTTCACATTTTGCCAATGTTCTCCACCAGGATTCCCCATGAATCTACTAACCACTCCCACCGCTTGTGCAATGTCCGGTCTTGTACAAATCATGGCATACATAAGACTTCCCACTCGCTGATGCATACGGTACTCGAGACATTTCGATCCTCTCCGCTTCACCGCTAGGACTCATACTTGAGGATAACTTACAGCTTGACAGGAAGTGGGGTAGAAATTGGCTTGCAATCTTGCATGTTGAAGCGCCGCAAGATCTTAAGTAAATAATTCTTTTGAGAAAGCCAAATCTTCCTATCTTTTCTCGTCTCGGTGAATTTGCATCCCTAAAATCTTGTTTGCTGGTCCCAAGTCCTTCATATCAAACTCCCTAGCCAATTGTGCCTTCAATTCTTGGATTCGAGCTTTGTTAGGGCCTACCACCAACATGTCATCCACATACAACAACAATATGATGAAATCATTTTCTTCAAACCTATTGTGGTAAGTACAATGGTCCGAACTTAGTCCGTAGTATCCGAGGCTAATAATGAAGGAATCAAATCTCTTATACCAACACCTTGGCGCCTGCTTTAGACCGTATAGAGATTTGTTCAACCCGCAAACCAAGTTTTCTTGCTCTTTGAAGCCTTCTGGTTGGAGCATATATATTTCCTCTTCAAGTTCTCCATGAAGAAAAGCAGCTTTTACATCCAATTGCTCAAGATGTAAATCAAATGCAAGACACATCGCCAGGACAATTTCGATTGTTGTCAATCTAACAACCGGTGAGAATATCTCGTTGAAATCAATGCCTTCTTTCCGAGCATATCCTTTTACCACCAGTCTAGCACGATATCTTTCTACTTGATCATTGGCATCTCTCTTGATCTTATAGACCCATTTGCAACCAATGGCTCTGCGACCTTTTGGAAGTTCCACAAGGTGCCATGTCTTGTTTTTATGAAGAGCTTCAATTTCTTCTTCCATAGCAGCCCATCCATAGAGGAGCTTCGAACCACTCACGGCCTCTTGAAAAGTTGAAGGTTCTCCTTCTTCACTTAGGAGACAATACGCATCATGACTTGCCATCACATATTGTGAATGCCAAGATGGTCTCGACTCTTTCTCTTGTTGATCGTCTGAGTTCTCCTTCTTCCACCTCATTTGGCTCATGTTCTTCATGCTCCTCCTCTAACTCGGAGGAATGTTCCGAAGTCTTCTTCTCTATCTCGTACTATAGTCTTGTCCTTTTCCGAGCCGTCATTTATCCGCTTGCTTTGCAGTTCATTTTCTCGCAAAGACGACATCTCTGCTAACAATAACTTTGTGGGCAGTGGGATCCCACAAGCGATACCCCTTCACATTGTCAAGCATATCCCAAGAAGATGCATTTCCTGGATTTTTGATCCAACTTCGTCCTTTCTTGGGTGTTGTACATCACGTACGCGGGACAACCAAACACATGTAAGGAAGAATAATCGGTTGATTTTCCACTCCACATTTCCATAGGAGTTTTCAACCCAATTGCTGTTGATGGAGACCGATTTATCAAGTAACAGGCAGTATTCACGCTTCCGCCCGGAAAGACTTTGTTATGCCTCGCAGCTTGCAGCATAGCTCTGGTTCTCTCTAGAAGAGTTCTATTCATCCGCTCTGCTACACCATTCTCGCGAGGCGTGTGTGGAACGTAAAATTGTCTCACAATTCCTTCTTGCTTGCGTAATACTAGAAAATCTCCATCTACATATTCTCCTCCATTGTCCGTCCTCAAACACTTGATTTTCCTTCCGGCCTCAAGTTCTACTTGTGCTTTGAAGTCTTTGAACCGCGCAAATACTTCGGACTTCTTCTTGATAGGGTATACCCATAATCTCCTCGAGTAGTCATCGATGAACGACACAAAATATTTTGCTCCTCCGAGAGATAATTCCTGTGATTCCTGGACATCGAATGGATCAAGTCCAAAGTTTGCTTACTCCTTGTGGTGGTTCTTGCAAACTTCAACCCGTGTTGTTTGCTTGTCACACAATGCTCACAGAAGGGTAAATCGACCTTCTTGAGCCCGTGTATGAGATCACGTTCCGCAAGAATCTGCAGACCTCGCTCCGACATATGTCCAAGTCTACGGTGCCACGTTATCGCCGCTTCTTCTTGGCTTGTCGACGCAGCTTGTTGCATGATTTTCTTGCAAGGTGTCTCCCATAAGCACATACAAGTTTGCCATGATTTTCTCTCGCTTTCATGACAACTATGTTTCCCCTCACTACCTTTAAGATTCCTCCTTCAACATGGATCTTGCAGCTGAGGTCATCCAATTGCCCTATAGACAATATATTTTTCTTCAAGTCCTTCACATGTCGTACTTCTTGGATTGTGCGAATAGTACCGTCATACATTTTTAATTTGACAAGTACTCAACTCCAAGCAATCTCCAATGCATAGTCATTTCCCATGAACACGGATCCACCCGAGATAGGCTTGTAGGTTTGAAACCAATCTCGGTGTGGGGTCATATGCCAAGTTGCACCTGAATCCATTATCCACTTGTCATGAAATTCGTTTCCGCCATTAGAGCCGATTGCCGCTTCGCTTACCGTAATTACTCCTTCCTCTCGAAGTACTCGCAATGCAACCTTGTGAGGTTGATTCTTCATTCTTCCTCTTCCAACACTCTTTCTTCGTGTGCCCTTTCTTGCCACAGTAGTAGCATTTAAATTTGAAAGTCTTCTTGTTTCGAGAGCTAGATCTCGCCATGATCTTGACTCCCACTTGAGCCACGTTCCGCCGATCTTCCTCTCATCATCGTCAAAACTTCTGCTTGTTTAGAACTTTCTACCTTATTCATTCGCCTGGATTCTTCTTCTAGAATAGCTCCGCAACATCGTCAAAGTGTAGTTGTCCTTCAATATTATTATTTGTAATGTTGATGATGAGTTGATCATACGAGTCCGGCAAGCTCGAAGTAAGAGCTCCGCACGCTCATTCTCAACTATGTTGAAATTTGTCGCTGCTAATTGGGCAAACAAGGTGTTCAGTTGGTTGATGTGGTCCGTCACCGATGTGGACTCACTCATCCGAAGAGTATAGAGTTTCCTCTTCAGGAATATCCTTGTGTGAAGTGACTTCACCTCATATAATTTAATGAGGGCATCCCAAATCTCCTTTGCAGAATCTTTCTCCGCAACACTGGATAGAACTGAGTCTGCCATTGCCAAGTGTAAATTTGCAATAGCGTTGCCGTCAATTTTCTTCCAATCTTTATCCGTCATTTCTGCAGGTTTTCCCTCAATTGCTTCTGCGCAATTGTCCTTTCTCAAGATTGCCTTCATCTTCAATTTCCACAACGAGAAATTGTTCCCGTTGAACTTCTCTATCTCGTACTTTGCTGCCATGGTTGTGTTTCCACTTATGCAACTTTCACTTATGAATAGTATTGTCTACTGGAACAATAGTAGTAGACCGTGAACCAGTACACCAAGTAGGTTCCCAGTCCTCAATAGTACTTTCACACTACCACACTTTTTCCAGTAACAACTCCTTTCTGATGTGGAAGATCAGATTAAACTGCAACCACAGAGCATACTCAGAATTTTACCAACACTATTCTAGTGACGCGCAACGGAACTCGAACGCAGCTCTGATACCACTGTTAGGATCAGAGTACCAGCATAAATACACACAACTAAAATAGAGACGAGAAAAATAACCCTGACAATAGGCAAAAATGAAAATTTTATAATGACCACTCTTTCCTTTTACAATTGGAAATTACCAATACTAAGAAAGTAAAAGAGAAAGAAGGAGAAATATTTGAGATGTATGAAATAAGGGGGGAGGGGCTCCTTTTATAAGAAGGAGGAGAGCCCCCAATTGAAGTTCCCACGGATGTGGGACTTCTTCCTTCACACTTCCTTCCCATTTTGTCACCAAGCCACCCAAAGAAAAGTTGGCCTGCAAGGGTTCCACAAAATGCAACACCATTGATGGCAGCAGAAACATTCGACGGCAGAGAGCCAGGCTTGTCGTGGCCTTCAGTGTAGTATATGCGGCCAAGCAATTTGGTGACAAGGGATATGCAGAACAGATCATAAGAATCAGTGAAGAAACCCATTCCAGCAATCACAATTGCTGTAAAATGGTACCATTGTGTTTTGGCAATGTCCAGTGCATTAAGCACCTGCAACTGTTCCTTGCCCATTTTTTTTTTGGCACTCACAAAAAAACTCTCTTATTTTCCTTTATTCCTTTTAACCTGAAATTATAACACTTTCTATATTAAATTATTTAAACATCTATCTCATACAAAATTCACATAGCAATAATATAAAGTAAGAACAACTCACTGAAAACAAATAAAAAATAACATGAAGAGAGGAAAAAAGTACTCTACCCTTAGATGAGTGTACGGAAAACCCTAGTTTAAGAGGGTGTTGGTGTCATGTATAAGACAAACAAGCTGAGGAATGTTGAAAATGGATGGAGGAAACTACAATGATTAAGTATTTAAATACAACTGATTCAAATTTTTTAGTGGTAGAAGATTAAAGATCATAATATTTAGAATTTGTATGGTATGGACTAATTAATTTTAATGATAGGTACACCTTTAAATATTTATGTTATTCTTGAGAATATATTTTAAATCTCTTTTATTTAAAAGATAAAACTATTCTACACCTTAAAAAGAATTAAAACCACTCATAAAATTAAAATTTATTTGTATGACATGTAAATATCTTACTGAAGAGATACCAGGTATTATCCGAATTAATATTTTCTAAAAGAACAATTTACCCAATTATGTATTATATATTTTTTAATATCAACTTATCATATTCCAGTTATATTTTGTTAGATATTGTTTATATATTATTTGATATTGTTAAGATATTGTTAGATATTGGTAACCACAATATCAAACAATATCTTCTGTTTATTCTGTTACTTTCAGTTACTCTTTTAGTTGTATATCTCTACTATAAATAGACTACCCTATGTGTGATTTATACACAAGGGAAATTAATTCCAAACCATATTTTCTCTATATTCAACATGGTATCAGAGCTTAAGGTTCTCTTGAATTATTTTTTTTTTCCGCCTTTTGTCCACTGTTGGAGCCGCCCCACCGCTGCTAGAGCCTCCCCACCGCTGCTAAAGCCGCCCCACCGCTGCTGGTAAACTGATCCTCCACATCAGAAAAGAATTATCTTTGTCATTGAATTTTATTTGGTAGTGTGAAAGTGCATGTTTAGGAAAGTTCTGACAAGGAAAGACTTGGTATTTAAGTGTGTCCATTAGTGACCCACCTCTCTTTCCTGGGAACTTACCTAGTGTACTAGTTCACGTTACTGTCACCGCTGCCGCTGGAGCAGTCTCCGGGTCCGCCGCTGTCGGAGAATTCGCCGGAGTTTCATTTTTTTTTACCGGTGACATATGATTTTGCTTGTCTCGGTCAGGGTTTGTTCTCCCGCTCTTCATGACTTCTTCCACTATTTCCAATTTTGTTAACGATTCTTTTGTGTTGACATCCCATCGTGATGACCGGGCTCGCCCTCGCAAACAGGAAAAAGGGCGTCCTAAGTGTGAACATTGTGGCAAGCTAGGTCACAAGATTAACAAGTGTTATACATTACATGGTCGTCCTCCTCAGTCTGCTGTAGTTGTTCAGACCAATCTTTCCCCACCTTTATCTCGTAGGGATCTTCCTTCTTCTGTTGCATCCGACATGTCCGCTATGTTCAACAAATTTCTCGAATGGTATAAGGATCAACAGTCTTCTAGTTCCACTATATCTGTCACACATACAAATACATATTTTCGCTGGTCCGACCCAATCATTTTCTCCTGGTCCTTGGGTTTTTGATTCAGGAGCCACTGATCATATTACTCGGTAACAAATCTTTGTTCTCCTCTTTATCCTCTCCTAATCATTTACCTTCTGTTACATCGGTCGATGGCTCTAGAGTATCATCTCATGGTGTTGGAACGGTTAAACTTTTTCCTTCTTTAACCATTGATAATGTTCTTTATGTCCCTGGGTCTCCTTTTAACCTCGTTGTCCATCGGTCGTCTAACTCGTTCTCTTGATTGTGTTGTTACTTTTACCAACAATTCGGTGTGTTTACAGGACCTGAGTTCGAAACAGTGATTGGCACAGGATGTGAGTCTCATGGTCTTTATTATCTCCGTCCCTCTACACATGTTAGTACAGCTTATGGAGTCTCCTCTCTTCTTCATGCTCGCTTAGGTCATCCAAGTCTTGCCAAGTTACGTAAACTTGTCCCCGCCTTGTCTAACTTATCTAGTTTGGCGTGTGAGTCATGTCAATTAGGCAAGCATAGTCGTACTTCCTTTCCTCGTAGTTTCACACGTGGTGCTTCGTCCCCTTTTGCCGTGGTTCACTCGACATTTGGGGACCTAGCCGCGTTAAGTCTACTTTAGGTTTTCAATACTTTGTTACTTTCATTGATGATTATTCCGGATGCACTTGGTTATTTTTGATGAAAAATCGTTCGAATTATTTCATATCTTTCAAACTTTTTTTAATGAAATTCAAACTCAGCTCGGTGTTTCTATTAGAGTTTTGCGTAGTGATAATGGCCGTGAATATCTTTCTCATTCTTTTAAACAATTCATGGCTTCTCACGGTATTTTGCATCAAACTTCTTGTGCTTATACACCTCAACAAAATGGTGTAGTCGAACGTAAAAATAGACATCTTATTGAAACAACTCGCACACTTTTAATTCATGGAGATGTTCCTCAACATTTTTGGGGTGATGCTCTTCTTACTGCATGTTATCTCATTAATCGCATGCCTTCTTCGGTTTTAGATAATAAAATACCTCATTCCATTTTATTCCCTCATGAACCACTTCATCCTTTACCTCCGAAAGTTTTCGGGTCTACATGTTTTGTTCATAATTTTAGTTCCGGTCTCGGACAAGCTTTCTCCTAGATCACATAAATGTGTTTTCTTAGTGGTTTACAAGATCACAAAAAGGATACAAATGTTTTTCTCCTTCTCTTAACCGTTATTTTGTGTCAAAAGATGTCACCTTTGATGAGTTGTCTCTTTATTTTAAAAGTCAAACTTCACCTCTGTCTCCATCCAATCTTGTCAACACTCCTAATACATTTAATGTTCCTCGTTGTTTGTGACCCTCTAATTGTGTCTTCTTCACCATTAGTTCCCGCTCCGCAGCTTAGCTTCTTCTCCACCGCCTCTTCGATTTATAGTTCTCGAAACCAATCACAACCACCACCATGTGACTCTACTCAAGTGCCAACTACTCTGTCTCCTCCGGATCCGACACATGAGTCCGACCTTCCCATTGCCCTCCGAAAAGGTATTCGTTCTACACGTAATTCCTCTCCCCATTATATTGCTTTGAGTTATCATCGACCGTCATTACCTTTTTATACATGTCTTTCCTCTATTTCTTCGTGACCATTCCAAAACCGTCTCGTGAAGCTTTAGCCCATCCCGGTTGGCGTCAGGCCATGTTAGATGAACTAAGTGCTCTTCATAATAGTGGAACTTGGGAATTGGTCCCGCTACCGTCTGGGGAAATCTGTTGTTGGTTGCGGTGGGTGTTTGCTATCAAAGTTGGACCCGATGGTACTATTGATCGCCTCAAAGCTCGCCTTGTGGCCAAAGGTTATACTCAAATTTTTGGGTTGGATTATGGAGATACCTTTTCCCCTGTGGCAAAGATGGCTTCGCTCGCTTATTTATCGCCATGGTCGCTTCTTCAACAATGGCCTCTTTATCAACTCGGATGTTAAAAATGCTTTCCTTAATGGTGATTTGCAAGAAGAAATATATATGGAGCAACCTCCTGGGTTTGTTGCTCGGGGGAGTCTTCTCGGGATGGTATGTCGTCTTCGCAAATCCCTATATGGCCTAAAACAGCTCTCCTAGGGCTTGGTTTGGAAAGTTTAGCAAGGTTGTTCAACAATTTGGTATGACTCGGTGTGAATCGGATCATTCGTCTTTTATCGACACTCGAGTGCTCGGATGTGTTTACTTGATAAGTATATGTCGATGATATTGTTCTTACAGGTAGTGACAACCATGGCATCTCTCAGCTTGAAACAACATCTTTGTCACCATTTTCGAACCAAAGATCTTGGCAAACTTAGATATTTCTTGGGTATTGAGGTAGCACAGATCCAATGATGGTATTGTTATATCTCGGAGGAAGTATGCCATAGATATTTTGGAGGAAACTGGGTTGATGAGTTCAAAGTATGTTGATACACCCATGGATCCCAATACTAAACTTCTACCAAATCGGGGGAGCCTATATCTGATCCTGAGCAAGATAGAAGATTGGTTGGAAAATTGAATTATCTTACAGCTTACTCGTCCCGATATTTCCTTTGCAGATCAGTGTGGTAAGTCAATTTCTTAATTCACCATGTGAAGATCATTGGAATGCAGTCATTCGTATCTTGAAGTATATTAAAGGATCTCCTGGAAAAGGATTGTTATATGCTTCTAATAACCATACAAGAGTTGTTTGCTACTCGGATGCTCGATTAGGCGGATCTCCTTCTGATAGAAGATCTACATCCTGGATATTGTGTCTCCATTGGTGGTAACTTGATTTCATGGAAAAGTAAGAAACAAAGTGTCGTGGCAAGATCCAGTGCAAGCGTAGAATATAGAGCTATGGCCTCAGCCTTCCGTGAACTTGTTTGGCTCAAGCAATTGCTTAGAGAGTTACAATTTGGAGATGTCACTCAAATGACACTTGTGTGTGACAATCAGTCGCTTCTTCATATTAGTTCTAATCTCGTCTTTCATGAGAGGACCAAACACATTGAGATTGACTGTCATTTTATTCGAGAAAAGATTATGTCTCGGAGATATCAAGACCGAGTTTGTTAACTCAAGTGATCAGCTAGCAGATATTTTTACTAAATCTTTACTGGGTCCTAGAATTGATTATATTTGTAACAAGCTTGGCACATACGATTTGTATGCTCCAGACTTGAGGGGGAGTGTTAGATATTGTTTATATATTATTTGATATTGTTAAGATATTGTTAGATATTGGTAACCACAATATCAAACAATATCTTCTGCTTATTCTGTTACTTTCGCTACTCTTTTAGTTGTATATCTCTACTATAAATAGACTACCCTATGTGTGATTTATACACAAGGGAAATTAATTCCAAACCATATTTTCTCTATATTCAACATATTTAAAAAATATTATTATTTTAATTAAATAATACAAATATTTTTTTAATCATTTAAAAAAACTCTAACATTTTTTTTATATCACCTTAATAGTCCTAAAAAAATAATCTTAATCAGGTAAATAGACACTTTTTTCTTACATACGAACATTTTGCATGCAAAATAATAGATAAAATTTTCATGTTTAGAAAAAATAAAATAAAATTATATATAGAGAGAGACAAGGTTGTATATCTTGTATATATGAAAAACATGTTACTTATCAAGAAATTGATAAAATGATAAATAATCAAACAAAAAAAAATCTTATGACTTCTGTTATTTAATAAGAGGAATAAAGATTAAAATATTAATAATAAATTTAAAAAATTTAATACGTTAAATAATAAGTACAAAATAAAAAGATTACATGAGGTTAAGTACAAACTAAAAGAGAAAATTCTTAATTTGAGATCTAAACAAACTGGAACTCAGAACACTAAATACCAAATGAAATTAAAAAAAAAATAAAATATATATATATATATATATATATATATATGTATAAAAGTATTTTTGTTAGGCATCCATTATTGATTTTAAGAATTTATTTGAACTTTTATTTTATATAATAATTAAAAAATTATAATATATATATATATATATATATATATATATATATATATATATATATATATATATAAACACAATTAAAAAATATACGTACCTGAATCTGTTGCTGCAGACTATTGCACTCTGAAAGTCTTGAAGAAGTTTGAATGGCACCAGTGGAAAAGTGTTGGTATTTGCATGACAGAGGGAGAAAATTAAATTTAGTGAGATGAATGAGAATAAGAAATAACTGGTTTTGTATTTAAATGGGAGGTATTCTATCTTTTTAAAATAATAAATATTAAAGATAAAAGAATAAAGATAATTATATAATTAAGATGTAAGATAATTAATTATAATAATATATAAAATTTTAAATATTTGTACATTTGAAAGTTAATCTTGTTAAAATGTTATCCTTAATAACATTTTTTAAATCTCGATTACTCATAAAATTAATGTATAACTTAAATGTTCAATTACCTAAAGATAAAATTAATCTTAACCAGATATAATGAAATCACATATAATAAAATGTTTAAATCAGGACATTTAACTAAATAAAATACATTAATTAAATTGGATTATAATAAACATGAGTTTCACCCTAAAAATCATTTGATAAACTTAGATTAAACTTATAATATTTTAGATAAATTGAATGCAATTAACAATTTTAACTACTATAAATCATTTTCAGAACTTTTTTTTTAATTATTAGTCATTGCCAGTTTATTTTAAATTATATTTTTAGTTTAATTAATATTAGTTTAACCAAATCTACTTAAGAATAATTCAATTTTAATTTTTTTAACATATTTTATTCCTTTTTATTATATATATTTTTGATTAGTTGAAACTTAAAAAAAAAAAACAATATTTTTTTTAATGTTATTTTTGTGATACACATGTTTTTTTTTTCAAGTTCACAATTTTTTATTTTTATTTTTATAATTATATAATTATCTCTCTAAATATTTGTTATTTTGAATTATAGTTTATTTTTAATAATTTAGTAATATTTTTTATCATTATTAAATAATAGACTTTAATTATTTTTTAAAATAAAAAATATTTTAAATATTTTTTATGATTATTTTTAATTTATAATATAAAATATATATTTTGTTTTATATATAAAGAGTTTATAATATAGGTGGATGAGATTTCTCTTTTTATAATAGATTTTTATTTCATTCCTCAGTAGATAGTTGTTAGTATTATGTTTTATTAAATATACAATGTAAAATAAATTGTAATTATAGAAAATAATAGAAAAAAAATATTTTACGAACAATACATGAGAACTAATTATACAATATTATATATTTAAAATAATAAATATTATATATATATATATATATTATGAATAGAGAAAAAGTAAAATAAAATTAAAAAATATATTTTAAAATAATTGACGATATAAAAAATATAATCAGTTAATTGTATGTGTTTTATTAGTTATTAACACGAGAGATTGATCAGAATTTTTATTAGTAATATAAAAAACATTTTTGAAACGTTTTTTTTATTATTATGGACACATATTTTTCTAGGTTAATAATTATTTCTCATTTTATCCGTTTAATTTTTAATATTTTTTATATACATTTACTTTTCTTTTTTATCTTAATATTATAATAAAACAAAGAAACACCAGACAAAGATGTTAATCCATGATTTAGAAAAACTGGACTAAAATTGGAGAAGAAAAAGGTGAGAGATTACATCACAACAAACACAAATTTGGTTTCCCTCTTCGATCGTTCAGTTATTGTGAGGTATGGGAAGAACAAACATGAAAAGAAGTGGAGAAGAAACCCATCAACTGTTACAATAATTATAAAATTAAAATTAAAATAATATTTTCTATTTTCTTAATAAATAAAATAAAATAAAAATATATTTAAACTTTATTTTTTATTATGAATCAATAATCAAAACTAAAGTTTTATTTATACTTCACTTATAAATTTTCTCGCATATTATAATTTATAGTGACAGTAATTTTTTTTTAACTCTTTAAATAATATATATATATATATATATATATATATATATTTACATTTTTTATATTTTATTTAATTATTATATTTGAATGATTTTTTATAATTTGATATTTATTTTTATTTAATAAATGGTGACTTGAAATTTTATTTATTTATGTTTATAGTAGAATGAATGATTTTGAATAATAAATTATGATATGGGAAGTTATATATTCAAAATTGTGTAATTGTGATTGTTGAATAATATGAAAAGTGAATGAGATATTATTGGTTATTAAAATCGTACAGATAATAGTTGAAAAATGAGAGTTATTGTATTATTAAATATTTTTTGAAATTATGATCTTATAAATTATAATTTTTATATTAGAGATTATATATTTTATTTTTATTAATAAATAATATTTAAAATTACTTTATACATCTATATTTTGGACTATTATTGGTTAATTTAAAAAAATCCACTACCAGAACATTAAAAAATGTTACTCATAATAAGACCTATAAAAAAAATTATCATTATTAATCCCAGTGTACATCATTGAAATTAAATATCTATGCAAGTATGAATAAAATTTGTTGAAAATATATAGAATAAAATGTGAGATTAATTTATAAAATATAAAATAAAACTAAATATAATAAAATATAAAATAAGTCTGTGATATAATAGTTTATCTTAAATTTGGAATCTAATATTTATAGGAATGATATTTATTATTAGAAAAAATATACATTAATTATTATATGAAACAAAGATATCCATAAATATATTGTTATGAATAACAAGTATATATGTAAAAAAAAATACTTTTTAACTTAAAATATTATGTAAAATAAAATTATTATTATTATTATTATTTGCCAAAATATGTATTAACAAAATAATTCACACTTGTTTATCTACTTTCCATTATATTTTATTTATTACATCGCAATATTAAACTAATTCTAAGAATTTAAAATAAAAATAAAAAAATTTACGTACTAAAATGTATTTTAATTTATCTATGTATCGGTGTTATTATTACTTCAAAACTAGTGTATCTTAATTAAGAACAACTTCAATCTTTGAGAACAAAGTTAGAAAAATTAGTTGACTTTGAAACAAAAGTTTAGAACATTTTTTTAGTGATTAAAAAAAATACAAAACTAAAGACCAAAAATATTAAAAAAACGTTTTGAAGAGGTTTTCATCAAGTTTATTTATAAGGTGTTTTAAAACTTATTTTAATATTTTTTTATGATAAATATATAACACAAGTGGTAAAAGTTTATTTAATACATTTAGATATTTTTAAGTCATTATTGAATTTACTTATATATTTTTTAGTTAAAAATGAGTATATTTCCATCTTAGCCGGATTTGTAAAATTGGGCATTATTATCTCAAATAATTGAAAAAATAAATAATAAATAAGGCGAGTCAAATTTGGTGTAGTAAAATTTCAATAATACCTATCCAACCCATACCACAGATATCATTTGCATCATAACACTATTATAATGTCTTGCAAACTCACATTATTAATTTGATTAATTAAAAAATTATATACATGTTTAATCTTAAATATTAATTGTTATTATTATACTTGAAAAAATTTAAATAAAAAAGAATCATATATAACTACGGCGAATTCTATACTCTAGACAGCGTTAATTAACCATTAAGTAAAGTATAATAAATGTAAATACATAAAATAATAATATAAATACCAAAAATATTCCCATATTCCTTTTCCCACTGCCTTCGCAATTATTTCCTTTCTCTCTCACTCAAAACAAAACAACCGGAAAACAAACCAAACCACTCTCTCCCTCTTCTTCCGCTTCGGCCCGTTGTTTTCTGCGCTGTCCCTGTCGTTCCGCGGTGCGCTGTGGCGGTTGCACAAGCGATGGGGAAGTACATGAAGAAGGCAAAACCCAAAGGGGAACTCGCGCTTGTGGAATCCACCACCACCAGCGCCACCACCTCCTACATGGGGGTTCGAACCCGCGCCAAAACCCTAGCCCTTCAGAAATCACATACTCAACCCGAACTAGCTCCCTCCTCCGATTCTTACCTTCAGCTCCGGAGTCGTCGCTTGCAGAAGCCTCCAATTTTGATCCACTCTCCCAGGCGGAACAAACACCAGAACCCTAAATCTCCAATCCCCGAACCTGTCAGGCTCGGACTGACTTCGGAGCACGACGCTTCTCTCACAGCGCGCAACCACAAGGAGGAGAGTACTCTGCATGAGAATGCCGAGGTCCAGGAAGGGTCCTTTGGGGAAAATGTTTTGGATTTTGAAGGCAGAGAGAGGTGGGTCTTCGTTCCCCTTTTCAAATTTAACTCAGAATTGGTTTCGATTTCTGCACTAATAAAGCTGTATTCTGTTTTTCTGGTTTAGATTTTATTATCATTTTGCTATTTATTTTGAAAAAAAAAAAAAATCTGTGAATGCCCTATTTTTTTTGGGTATTGTTGATTTCTGCAACTTTGTCTAGGTTCGAAGGAGTGTAAGGGGGGCAAAATACTAAAACGTGATTTTGAAATTTTTATTTTATTTTATTTTTTCTTCCCCTCTAGTTTTATGGTGGTTTGTTAATCGTGTTTTGGAAGACTTTTTTTTTTTTTAAAGCTTTATGGTCTAGTTCTCTGCAATGTAATCCGGTTCCTTTCCTCGATGTCTGCCCTAAAGATGATTGAATATGGGAAATTTGTTCCCTGTTTATCGGTTGTGTTTCATTCGTCAAGGCATGAGGAGGATTAGATTTGCGTTTTTTCTTCTCTTAGTACATTTTATCTTTCAAGGTGATTTTTTCATTTATGCATGCAATTTTTGCGAACTTTTTGTGGCTACATTTTCGTTGTGGAAGTGATTACTTCACTGTCTTCGATGATATTTCTGCCCAATTCAGGGATCCGCGGGAGAAACATGCATGTTTTTCTCTTGGTAGAAAGATTTTTATATAACTTTCTATATCTAAAGGTCATGTGACAATTTCAGTGTACATGTACAGCTGATATCCACTGAAAATTCTTCATATTTGAAGTTGTTGATTAAAAATTAGTGTACAAAATCTATTCAACCAAATACTTCATTTTTACCCCCTACTTGTTACTTTATTGACAGGAAATGTTGATGTGTGATTATATGTCATAAAGTGTACCCCCTTTTTATCAATTTGATGCTTGTTACCATCTAGCTATTGCAATGTTTCACTAATTTCTCTTGTCGTGCTCTATTAGTTTTGTATTATAATACTAAAAAAAATAATAATAGTAATGTGTAGAAGGAAAAAAAAAATTCCATTCAAATTTAGTTTTTTTTTTTTTTTTTTTTTAATCAATCGAGTGAATGACTGGACATGCATAAACTATGAAAAAGAAGGGATAATCCATCCTTAAGTAAACTCCCTTTTTTCCTTCCAAACTGAATGCATATTTTATTTATGTTGAATATGCTCATAACTGAATAGCCATATGTACAATGAAATTTGTAACTGTGTTTTTTGGCTTTAAATGTTGTGCTGGTCGGCTTTGAATTTAATAGCATTCTCATTTTTGCCGTTTTAAGACTGGTTAAGTCTTACCTGAAATATTTATATGGTATTACCTAACTTTTTGTCATTAAAACGCTTTTATTTTTTTAGTGCTTCTATTCTACTGTACTCGTTTAGGGTAATTTGCTATGTTTATTATATATTTATCTATTGGGATTTGCAACGTTTAATTTTATGTTTTTTATTTGATGTAGAAGCACTCGGGAATCCACACCTTGCAGTTTGATAAGGGACCCAGATACTGTCAGGACTCCCGGTTCAACTACCAGGTCTACTCGCTCAACTGAAGCTAACCGAAGAACCGAGCATGCAGCTAGAAGGCAAATCCCAACTTCACGCGAAATGGATGAATTCTTTGCTGAAGTTGAAGAGGCTCAGCAAAGGAACTTCATTGAGAAGTATGCTTTAGTGATTTTATTGATATTTTTATTTCTTGGTCAACAGCAATGTCTGTTACATGTTCACAAAACTCATTAGCAATGTGAGTTCATTGCAGGTACAACTTCGATCCTGTGAATGACAAGCCACTCCCCGGACGTTATGAGTGGGAGAAGTTGAAACCCTAGAAGGCCAGCGTAGTGTTCCGTCAAGACATCTTTGAAGTAGCAGCAGGGGTAGAATTTGTTAAAGCGGTGGTGGTGTTATTTCCCTTTTCCATCACCTTCTATTTACTTGTAAAGAAAGTAGGACTCGTAAACTGTGTAGAATTATGGTCTGTAACTTTACAGAGGTGATGATTACACAACAATACAAATCAAAGTCCTTTGTCTAACAGATCATTTAAGGGGGCAAGGGAAGGGGCTGTAGCGCGTAGGATTAGGGATAAGTCAAATTAGGTCAGTATGAGGTACAGGAATTACTTAGGTTTTCTCTTGTTCTTGTATTTTACTTATCTTTATCTTTGTCTATACTTGTACTGATGGAACTTGAACAAACTTTTAGAAATAAAGACCCGATTCCCCCACCTAAATTTCTGTCACTTCCTTTGTCATCTGTGTTCTGTTCTATAAAATATTGGTCTTATTTTCACGCGAGACACCGAATCTGTCATTTGTTTTTAGATGACACTAGCTGTTTGTTTCTGTGGCACGTAGCAATAGTGCTAAAATCTGCTGGTGTTTTGATCGTCCTATAGTGGTGGGGCAAAGCTAACATGGAATGTTTTGTCTCTTTGTTATGATATAACCTCAATAATATTTAATAACCTGACATTGTGGGAGACATTTGCTAATTGGAAAATGATGCCTGGTCAGATTGGGCGTCCAAGCACAATTCAATTCAATCCTTCCTTGTAAAATTACAGTAGGTCATAAAGTTATTAAGCGGCTCATAGGTTTTATAATTATATTGTATGGTTTATGGAATGGTGGTGTCAGCAATTTTTTCTGTAGACAAAACAAATGCCCCTTGGTCTCAGTAATTCTGAATCGATTGTATTTGATAAGTTATCTAAGTTGGTCTATAATTTATTTTACTACTTTTTGAATGAATGGATCCACCTCAATTCTGTTCAAAATCAAGTTTATTTTGTGAAAATTACTGTTACTTACTAGCTTTAGTTTTTGCATGTTCAGTGACTAAAGTTTTTGCCCAAAAGTTTGTTTAATTTTCACTACCTCGTAACTTTTGTTAGGTGCTGTTTGAAATATTATTAAGCTTGAAACTTATAATCTATTATTATTGCTTTTTTTATCCTAATTATTTTAGAAAATGTGTGAACCATTTCCTTTAGTTATATTAACAGATGATATAGATATTATGGTGTCTATTTATCCGAATTTTTCACTAATAAGTAAGCCTATTTCTTGATATTGTTATTGTTATCGATTTTAATAAAAGTTGACATAAAAATAGTAATAACATGGAACTTATAATTTAATAATTAAAAAATGTTGATTTTCTATGAAAAATACTTTCTATGAATGTTACACCGGTATCATTTAATTATATATAAATAAATAAATAAAAGTTTCCGTTAAATGATACATTTATATTTTTCTTTTATAAATATTAACTGTTAATATTTTGTTTTTAATGGAAGTTATTGAACTTCTATCCTAATCTTTTCTTTTTTACTTTTATTATCAGATCAACCTTATATTACCTACATACAATTTTATTTTACTAGTTGGTACTTAAATACCATACTAATTTTTTAATTATTACACTATAAATATTTAAGTCAACAGTTGTTCATTAAATGAAAAATTAAGCAAAATAATTAAAATCTTAAATTTATATTCGTCTAAATATAAATATGTAACAATTTCATTTTGTATCATTTATACTTATCAATTAATTTAAAAGTACATTTATATTACATCTATTTGAGAGGAAACATAAAGTTAAGTTTTTTATTCAAATAAAAAAAATCCCACATGTTAACATGGACATTAATTACCACTAAGCATATCTTTTTTTTTTTAACTAACAAATATTCATTATAATTTCATATAAAAATAAGTTTATTTAATTTCAATCATTTAAATTTTAATAAAATCTATTTTTTCAAAATATAAGTAAGAGAAAGATAAAGTAATAAAAAATTATAAAAATTTTAACATATAATTTCTATTTTATTTCTTTTTCATTTATACCTTTCTTATAGCTTTTGTTCTCTATTTGATTTATAATGCAAAGACATCTTTAGTTTATATTTTTTGGGAACTTTTATTCCCCCATGAATTTCTCTAGAAAGTAATTTGCAATTTTCTAACAATATCTTTTTAATATAAGCATAGTTGGATTATCATTATTCTTTCTTTTATGGAAGGCATACCAATGAGTGCCAACAAAAGTTTCATGGTGTTTTTGTCACAACGGAATCAAACTTCTTTTATCTACTGAATGTTATAAATTTTCAAGTACGCAATCGACTCAAGAGTTGAATAAAATCAAACCAAAAGAAAAGAAAAGTTCTCCACTGACTCATCGAGAAAAGCAATGAATCAAGTTATTTTTTTTATAAATGCTAATAATTTTATCGTATGTATTTATTCTGCACAAAATTGTCATAGACACATGCTTAATTTATCATTTATTTAATAAAAATATTTAATTTATTAATATAAAGGCATTTGTTGTACAAAATATTCCTTCAGTTCTCTCTATTTGATGGTTATAAAAATAGTTATTATGTTGTATCCAATATATAATTAAAAAGTAATTTCTATTAATTAAATATATAAACAAAATATATTATGGTTAACAAATATTAATACACAAATATCTATATTAATATAAGATTATATCACAAAATATTAATAAATATATATATATATATATATATATATTAATATAATTATATCTTAAATCAATCTTGTTATCTAGACATAATTTCTATATCTTAAATCATTTAATTAATATAAAAAATAATGAGTTAATTATTTAAATAATAACTACTTATCAAATTTATCAAACATATAATATTATACTTTTTATCGAGTGTGTATCATATTTTATTTCCCTATTTAGTGATATTTTAGTTTATTTAATAAGGGTTAGAATTTGAAATTTCATTAAATTCGCATAAGCATAATAGTCATACTAACGTCACATAGTACCTCTCCAGAGTGCTCACAACCATATACATCTCAATTGATTATGGATCACATCATTAACTCGATTTACTCTAACATATTTCAGACCATTATAAATCATTTTCTTGACTCGACTAAGTCTCATTAGATATATTTTAGCTTCAATAACACACAACATCACCATATCATCATGCTGTCATTCTTAAAAATGATGAGAAACTTAACTTAATCTTAAAAAAATGGTTCAATAAAGTGATGATTGTACTTATTTATATATTATGATGTTATTATATTTTTAGTCGATGTGATTTCTCAATACACTCTCTCGCATTAAGGAGGATTTTTTCATCATACCTCCTCATATCGAGTAGAATTTTTTCAACACACCCCTCACATTGAGGATGATAGTCCAATATTTGTTTGATAACGGGTAGTTAAGTTCAGCACTATTAATGATTATTTTCCTAACATTGCTAATTGACTCTTATACCATCTCAGAAATTGTGAGATACTTAATTCAATCTCATAAAATCGATTTAGTAAGGTGAAAATCATACTCATTTATATATTATAATGTTATCACATCTCTAGTCGATATGAGATTTTTCAACACATCCCTCGGAGGATATTTTTTACTATACCCCTCACATCAAATAAGATTTTTTCTTACCTTTTTGATATTTTGTAATAATATTTTTGACTTAATCTTAGGCTTTGACTCACCCTCATTGGATGAACCTTGTGGAGAAACCCTTGAATTTTTTAAGCATTGAATTCTCGCCAACACTTGTTTTACTCAAGATGATAATCTCGCTTTCACTTCGTCCATCGTTACTCACTTGGGTCCTTCCCTCTAAGCCGAAATGCTCCCCTAGTGATTCATTTTGACTTCCACTTCGACAGATCGTTTAGCGATATTCATCTCCGATTTAAGAACATTCTTTCAAGGTGGTTACTTTTAAGCAAACTTTCTGATTAACCTTACCTCCTTTATCATTAAACAGTCATTTAGGGGCATTAGCTAGTGATTCAGGTTGTTTTCCTCCCAATGGTGGTGCTTATCTCCCATTGTCTCACTGACCAACCTTGATCTTTATTATTTTGAGGTTATATTTAGTATTTAGAATTTGTCTTAATTTGGTCTTGAGGCAGTGACCCACGCTGAAAGAGTGTTTTACCTTATATGTCTAGTCAATTTCTGCACCTCAACTACATTTTTGGAGAATTATGTTATTCTCTCGCATTTCTCTAATTTGACATTTCTCTATTCTTTTTATCATAACTTTTTATATAAATATCACTTTTGCTTAATTTTTGTTTTATTAAATTTCTTATTTTCATATATTTAATTTTTACATATGGAATATGAAATTTGAAATTTAGACAGAACGTGAGCAATAGTCCCATATATTTAAAATATCTTTTTTATGATTTTTAAAAGTTTAGACGAGAAAATACTTTAAAATTTATTTCTCTCAACTTGAATGAAAATTAAGCAGCCAACTTGACTTTCGTTTGAGTAAGAAGATTCTTGCTTGAGTGAAATGTTATTGTCTTATATCACCTCTTCTATCGTCTTGCTCTCATTCAAGTGACTCGGGTTTCATGAGAAAAATAAAATTAAGAAGTGATGTCAATCTAATTTCCATCCTTTTCTCACTCAATTCATAATAATATAACTTATTTATACTATAATCATGTAATAGAACATCATAACAATAAAAAAAAAAAATATAAAGAAACATTTCTACTTTCATTTTAACACATAAAACATATAAATTTCCTTATAAGTATATTATTATTTAAATAACTAACCTCTTACTTGGATATTCATGAACTATAGCTTTCACAATATGTGCAGATCATAGTTAATATTCCAGTTCCAAAACGTGAGCAATAGTCCCATATAACTAAAATGTATCTTATTATTTGGATTTTCTCTTAAAATTTAGAAATAATCAATAATAAAAATGACTTACTTATTGAAAGTTTTGTTCAAACCCTTATCACTTCAACTTTCTTATGTCACTTCCAAATATAAAATTCATCATAGTTTCAATACTCTAAGTTTAAATATAATCTAAAGAATTCTACTAAAAAAAATATATATTTATGAAAATTTTCCCTTTAATTTTTGTTAAGCAATTAAATATATTTTTATATTCATGAAATTTTACGTAGTTACGTATCCTATTTTTATGTTATGTGAATTACGGATCTTAAAGAACAAATTAACGGACAAACTCGTAAATAAATATATATATATATAATTTTTAATTATATATAATATTTTAAAAATTTTATTTATTTATTAATTAATATTTTTTTATTATGTAAGTTTGGATTTCATGTGTTAAATCCTTTTATTATAAATAATTTAAATATAATTAAGTAGTATTTATGATTTAAGTAATAATATTATAATTTATTTAAAAAATAATTATATATTTTTTATTTTAATATATAAACATTTTACTAATTGACTACCTTGCTCCATCGAGGTTAAACGAAATAAATTAAAATAGACTAACGAATTATTTTAAGACCTACCCGTTTGATAAAATAGCTATCTATTCTATGCTACTTCTATGCCACATACAAATTTATCATATATTTATTTTATTTTTAATAGCATAATTTAATGAAATTCATGATTTATCATCTCTTGAATACTACATTGTTTGCGTTAATGTTACACAATTCATATGTTTAATATTAAATAAATATTTTATCATTAAGAAAAAAAACAGTCCAAACTTAACTTGGAAGAGTAAAAATAACCTGTGAAATGCTCGTTATATAGGGTATAGATTAATTGAATATAAACAAGATTCTAATAATTTATGTGCTAGTACTCTATTTTGATTATTATGCATGATTTCTAATATAGAAAAATGATTTTTTTAAATAATAATGTTACTTTAGCAACAAAGTCAAGATATTGTTCTCCCTATTCTTAAGAAAATGTGGTTCACACTCCACCAATAGTGGTTGTTGTTATAGTGGTTGGTGGGTGGAGGATATGTGTAGTAGATATGGTACTGTTAATACTTGGTGCAGCTGAGGAATATGCAGTTCCCAATTAAATCTTTTTCTCCTTGCTGTCGAAGTCCCACGTCATACCTTATATAATTTAATTTAGTATAGTTTAAATACATGTTATACTACTTTATATATTATCAATTGATTTTATGTTAGAACCTTAATATGGTATCAGAGTTAAAGCATGATATCTTTTCAATTATTGTCTTTGATCAAAAGTTGTCATTTGGTTGGATCAAAAATATTATTTGTGCTAGTCCGGTAGACTTCGTTGAAGAGAATGTGTTGGAAGTCTAATATCGTCTACTTCATATCATTTGGTATGATTTAAATATATATTAAAATACTTCCCCTATTACAAATTAGTTTTATGTTAAAAATGTAAAAAACTTGAAGCAAAATATGAGTGGAAAGGAAAGGAAAAACTATTATTCCCCAACTGTAAATTCAAATATGCATTCATGATTTGTTCACCCACGGGAGACATTCCACAATCAAACAAACTCCAATATCATTCCAGCTTTGACTCCATGGGGAATCACACATTGGGTGTCTAAATGGAGCACCCTATTCATAATCTAATCATCATCACTCACTTGTGTCAAAATAAAATTACTTTTTTAATAATAATAATAATTTATATCTTCGGGTTTGGTTGCAAAATGATTTTAATTTCAATTTATTTCTTGTTTGTTCGTAATTCAAAATTAAATTTTTTTTCTTCAAACGGGTTTTAACGTTTTTGATGCATAGGATTCTTGTTTGGCTTACTTGCAAAACTTCATTCCTTCTAAAGGAGGAAAGTAAAAAGGATCTGCACCATTTTTATATTTGTAGGGCATACATTAAAGTTCAAGACCCTCTCTTTCTCTCTATATCAGTACACTAATTATTATACATGTGTGTGAGAAGGAAAAAAATAAAAAATAAAATTCAAGTACCACCATCATTGGAAGTGCCCTTATTTCAAAGATGGGAGAATATTCATTCACAATTTATTTGATGTTGAGAGCTGAATATTTCAGAAGGAAAATAATATGTACAAGTTTCTTAGATTATCTCTAAACAAAATTATTAACAAAAGCTGATTATAAAAAAATTATTTTATTATGAATCTTATGTCTGACTTATTTGAAATTTACAAAATTTGTTTAAAATTAAAATAAAATTAATTATATAAACAAGTTTGATTATTTATATACAATTGTTTAAAATTTAAATAAAATTAAAAGAACAGTTTTAAGAGCTGTATAAAAAGAGGAAAGATTAAAACGGTTTGTTGTTAGCCAATATTTGTAATCCCTAATACGAAATCATGATTTTACATGATTGACAAAATATTTATTAATAAAATATTAATGTAAAAATATAGGCGATAGTAATTTTGTAAACATTAAAATTATTACAATGATTTTTTTTTAACAATAACTTGTGGAGAAAGTAAAATATCTTATGTTAAGACACAGACTCGTATTTTCTTCTTCATTTATTCTTTGTAATTCTGCATCCTGAACTCTTTTAATTTGTTTCCCTTTAATTCACTTTTTTCTTTCTTTTTCTCAAGCGCATTTTTCTCTTATCTCTTCTGCCACTACTCCATTTCCTTTACCAATTAAAATTAATTTCGTGATTTTATCACGTTATGATTTATTTATTTTATTTTTCTGCCATCTTTCCCTGAAACTAACTCTATATATATTTTGAATTGACCAAAAAACATATATTTGTAAATTATGATCGATTGTCTTTTATGTCGATAAGAACAAAGCAGTTTGTAAAGACACAAGACATGTTGTATTATATTGGTTGACTTTTTAATGTAAAAGGTTTTGTATTTTTTTTAATGATATCTATATTAATATTATAACCAGTGAAATATTTAAAATAATTATGCAAAAAAAAATTGTTTTCTAATAATAAGTGAATCGATAAAATACGAAAAAAAAATCAAAATTACATAAAGAAAGTGGTAAACCTGATAAAAAATAAAAATATAAGGAAGAAGTGGATATACAAATATTGATAGTTCATTGAAAAATCAGTATTCATTCTACCACATATTTTTACAATATTTTCACTGTATATAAACATAAGATACAGTTATTTTTCTACAAAAATAAAATATTTTTATTGTTCCACCATATTTTTAGAATGATTATCGTTTTTATTTATAGTTTTTAATATCATAAATTATGATAAAAAATATAGGTTAGATGAATCCAATAACTGATCCATTGCTTGATAGGTTTAGCTCAGTAAACTTGTTTAGTTTTTTTTTTATTATATTAAATTGATTTATTTTTTTTATAAAATTTTCAAATCTTATTTTTTTTAATAAATTCTAAAGCTCTATGTTTTTATTAAATATATATTTTTTCAATAAATTCTAAAACTCTATATTCTATTAAACATATTTCATTTTTTTATAAATTCTAAAATTATATATTTCATTATTTTAAAGCAAATTATTTAACAAACTTATCGTAAATTGATTGTTCATAACATATTTGCAAATAAAGTAAAACATTTGTATATGTAATTATTGTAATTATAAAAAGTAACATATATATATATATATATATATATATATATATATATATATATATATATATATATATATATATATATATAGAGAGAGAGAGAGAGAGAGAGAGAGAGAGAGAGAGAGAGAGAGAGAGAGTGATATTGATTGATTTACGCTGTCTAATTATTTTAATTTTAAAATTACTAATTATCTTATTTTTCTTTATATAATTTTAATTTTATTGTTAAAAAATACAGTTAATGATACACAAATAAGACTAAAATAATTAAATAAGAAATATTAGTAAAAAAATCAAGAGATTTAAAATAAAAAAATTACATAAGCTAAATAGATGGTTGGCAAAGATTTTGAACTTTTTTAAATCTAAGAATATTCAGTCTACTTTTTTATTTTGCAATAAAAGAATAATAGACTTATATTATATTTAATGAAAAAAAGGAAGTTTTTGCCAATATATTTTTGTACGTAATTTTGATATCTATATTATTAAATTAATGAATTAATTTAATTATGTTTTGATTTTTTTGTAATGATAAAAATATTAAATTTAAATATAAGAAAAATAAAAAAACAACTAAAAGAGTATGAGAAGTTGCAACATCAATTTAAAAATATAAAAGAGTGAATAAATACAAAAAAAAAAAGAACTGAAAAAGCATGATCAAATATTTACTCAATAAAAAATTATCAAATATATGCGGTGGAATTCGAAAGCTTGTGTTGCGTGCGGCATCTTCTGTTTCCCGCCTTCGGTAACAGTCACAGAGAGATGCTATGGAACCCTAATGGAGGACGCAAAAAAATTGTATCACTCACTCTCCAACTTCACCGTTCAAGACCCAATTCTTGAAGGCAAAGACCATCGCAGCGTGTGCGAAACCCTCTTCCACCAACTCCACTCCAGTTTCCACCAATTCTTCTCCGCTCTGCCTCTGCGCCACCTCCATGACCCTCACTCTCGGCCCCTTCCGCATACGCATTCGCGGCTGTGGCCAATTGTTGAAGACCTTTCTATCATTCTGCGCTGCTGTCTTCTTCTCCTGACGCTCCCTCTCTCCGACCAGAAGTTCCTCCTCCTCAAGTGCCGCTCCCTTCTTCGCATCCTCAACTCCTTTCTATCTCTCCATGTCACTGAACATCGCGTCCTGCGCTTTCGCAACTTCCTCTCCGACGTCGACTTGGACCTCGATGATTCTTGCCGTCCGTTTCTACGCGCGCTGCTGGAGGTAGGTTCGGTGTTGAGATTATCAATATAATACCGCAAGTGTTTTCTGCAGCTATATGCTCCAATTAAATGATCAATGTTATCGTAATGATTTTTTCTTTGGTTCCTAATTAGATATGTAGCTTCTAATTACTGTAGCTTTTGTTTGAACACTTATTTGTAAAAAGTTTTGTGTATTTAGTTCTGTTTTATTTTTTCTTGCTTAGAACCTGTTTGGAAATACTTATTCTTAAGTACATACTGTAGGAAAAAAACAAGAAGGAAAAATGAATTGTACTCTTTTCCTAACTAAAGTTGACTTATTCACTTAAGTTTTTGGAGATTTTAGATGAGAAAGCTGTCCATAAAATGTTATTGATTTCGGATTTTTAACATAGAGGATATGGTAGATTCTTTTTTGTTTTATGAAGAATTTAATCTAAACAGAGTCACTATGTGGATCAAACAATGCTGTTGGACTAATTAGTAATAAACATTTTTTCCCTGAACCTGCTTGAAGTAAGGTTTTTTTTTTCTTCTTTTTTTTGTGGAGCTAAAATCTGTTGGACTGTGATAAACATTTTTTTTTCTGAAGCTGATTAAAGTAAAGTATTTCATGGTTTCTCTTATTGTTTTCCTTTTCCGTTTTTGTTTGATAAATTTCTAGATGATTCGAGTTTGTGACTATAAACATTATTATTGCCTTTGACATGACCAAGTCAGCATGGAGCTCAGGAAAACTTTGTTTCATCTTCTCATGCAATGCAATTGTTTCTATGCTTCTGATATTTCGTACGTGCCATTCTAATATCCACCACTTAATTTTTGTTCCCTCGTCTCCAATCTGCTGCCTATGGGTAACCTTGATGGACAACTGTAATTTGGCAACGAGGAATGAGATTCTGCTTTTAATCCGAGAGTAAAATCCTCTGCTTTCTGGAAATAAAATAAAGTGAAGAGAAATCAGTAAATGTATAAAATAGTTTTGTTTCATCAGATCATTTGAGTTTAGTTTCAATTTGGATGATAGTGTTATAAAATTATTAATGATTGTTACAAAAAGGGATTTTTCTGGTACATTAGGCTCCACCTACTGTGGTCAGGGAGATTATTCTAGGATTTAAACTTGTAATGTTCCAGGTTACTAGGAAACAAACTACTGTTGTGCCAAAGCTTGTCCCTCTAGTTTTGCGCATTTTAAACATCTGCCGCATAGAAATTTGTGTATGATTCTTACTGGAGTTCTATCAATCTAAACATGAAAATGTTATCTCAGGTATTTGCAGATGAACTTTTGAGGCATCAATCTTTGAGAAGATATTTCATGATTGCTGATTCCGTGTCTTCCATCCATGAAAAACTTTTTGTGTGTCATGTCAACCAAGGTGATATTACCAGTGTTCTGGAGGTGTTATCTACTCATTTCCTCCTGTCAGTTTCTGATGAGAAAGCGGTTGAGGATTTCACAATTAGATTATTTTTACATCGTGACAAGGATTTTAGATTTCCTGAACTTAACCTTGCGCCCTCCATCGTGTTGCTGCATGACCCTGTTGTGCTTTCTGCACCAAAGATGTTCCAGGCACACATAGTTTCAATGGTTTCTGAAGCCATTGGTTCTGGCTTATCCACAGAGATTTTATCCAATTTCCACTTAACAGCGCTGCAAAAATCTGTTATCTTGTACTCTACGCATATGTTTTGTTTGCAAATAGATGGATTTGGTGTTGAAATGAAATTTTTCAACAATTCATACCTTCTAAACAGAGGTCAGCCAAAATTTGAATCTTATATACAGCAAGGCACTAGAAACAGATTAAATCATGTCTTATCAAAGTCAGATGATTCATGGGACTCCAATGGATGCAAACTGTCCTCCAAAACAAAGGACGATCTTTTGGCTGAGTATATTGCATTTATGAAAGAGAGACAGTACATATTTGTTGATTCATTCAGGGAAGTGGTTACCTCAATCTTAAATTGTATAATCCATCAAGCTTTCTCTGAGGAGGCCACCGGAGATGCAGTATTCAATATAAAGGAAAACACTAGTGCCCAAGATATATGTCTTCTTGCATCTGTATTGAAGCTGATGAGTGTTTCCTTGCTACAGGCAATTAAGTGTCTAGGCAATAGTGGTGATTCAGATTGTTTGAAAACCATGGGAAGTGCCATTGTGCGCGAGAAATATGATTTATTGATAAGCATCATTGACCAATTTGAACAGGTTAAGTTCTGTTTACCAATTCAAACTTTCTTGTATGATGCGATGCTAGGTCAGAAATCAAGTTACAAAGTCTCCAAGTCATTGTTTGTGCACTTCACAGGCTTGCTATCTTTATGTTTTAGCAATGGACTTGAATTGCTAGCAAAGGGGTGTATATCAGTACTTATGGCACTGATGTATCTGTTTGTTTTTGAAGAGGGAAATTTACTTGCTTTGGGATCATTGAGGGGTCTGTCATTGCGACCTTGCTTGTCTGAAATTTCATCTGATAAGAATGGAAAGGTGAATTGTGTTTTCAGTTGTCATGAACTTGAATTTAGTTTATATTTCATGCTAAATCGTTGATAAATTTTGCAGGGTGCAAGAGTTAAGCAATCTATCTATAAAGTTGCAGCAGAGTTTCGCAGAGTTCAATCATGTAATTTGAGGTATATATTGTATCTATGTCTTTTTAAGCTTTACATGATGTTGTCTTTTCTATTTACTTATTCTTGATTTCTCTATTCAAGTATGTAATTTGAGTCTTTCTAAAGTAGTAAGGGAAGTTGGTGATTGAGTAGCCACCATAAGTTCAATTCATTGTTAAGCCCAAAAAAACCACTCCGTAGGGCACATAGTTAGAGTCCTACTCATTTTGCCGTTATTTGTTAAGGAGCTGTTGTTCTCTTCTGTCCTAGTTATGGCCTCTTTGAAAGCTCGAAGGGTTACCCTTTATTAGATTAAATTATACTGCATATTCGCTTATCTTGGAACTTTGGGGCATATTTAGGTCTTGAGGGACTTCGTTTAGTTTAGTATATCAATGGTAGACTGAGTTTGAGGGATTCCATTTAGTTTACATTAGCAATGGTTCCACTTGTGATATTCAAGATTGCATGAATCATTGTTATGCTATTTTATTCATGTATTTTCTTTCCCACCCAAATGTTGTAATGAACATTATGCAATCAAGCGATGAGGGCTAGCTCTAGTCGGGATGTCTTGGACTTGATTTGGGGTAGCATCCTTCATTGTTTGCTTATACCATATGTAAGTACCATTGTCTCCTAAGGACAAGGTAGCCTTCCCTCCTTACCTTTCCGTAAACTTTTTCTCTGCACCCCAAAAAGTGATGATTATATTATACAATTGATCAAATAAGTTTTTAAGCCCCACTGAAATGAAGTGGGAAATATCTTTTCTTTCCTCAAAAGTGGACTATGTTTTGCGCAAATAAATTGTCCTCAAGTTGATAGGTTTCATTTTTAATACGGATCCATCCTGTACTTTTCAGAACGGATTCCTTCACCTCCTATAACGAGGATGCAACAGAAAAAACCTGCAATGGGGAAATGTTTCTTAATTGCATACTGGGAGACCCCAAAAAGTTATACGATTATGATGAACTCGCAGATTTCCTTGAGTGTAAGACTGGGAAAGATTATTCCAAGTGGTTGAATGGCCGCGAAGTATATAGAAATCGCAGGTATCAGAAAAAACAGGAATTGAGGAAGACCAAGAAGGAAACATTCCGGAAGTCTTCTCAGTTTAAAAGAATTGGCCAGCCTTTGTAGCCACATAAAAATGTCCTGTTTGTGAAGCATTGGAGGTGATAAATCTGATTCATGGTCTTTGTGTACATGTAAATGAATAACCTATTTTCTTGGGCTCCTCACTATTGTTAGCTAAATATTAGTTCAAATATTTGTATTTATTAGATTTGCTCAGTGGGATCGAACATATTTTCCTTTATTTCAACGGGTAAGGACATGAATTTAGGTTCAAAGGTGAGATAACCGCATCTAGTATGCTTTCAACATTTTCTGATTGATTGACCACATGCCTTTTTCAATTTACGTCGAAATACATTATCACTAAATTTAAACCTTTTTTTGAAATATTTTCTATCGTAATAACAATAAATATTTATTAAAATAATTTCACTTATTTAATAAATATACTAACTTTTATATGCTGTAAGTAAAAGTTTTCATATAATTTTTGGATAAAATTTTAAATAGATAATTAATATTCATTAAAACTGAAAATATGGACAATTTTTAAAAAAATTTAAATCACAATTATTTTGAAAGAATAAAGTATATCTTTATTAGAAAATAAAACAACTTTACTTCTCCAAGTTCTTTTGCGTGAACAAATATAACAATACCTTAAAATGATTTAATCTTATCTAACTGATTGTTTTCGTTGTTTTTCTCACACATACGAATCGTGCACTAATAAAACAGTTCAACGCCACGTTCTCCCGGAAAAACAAAGAAATAGGGAAAACGCGTTTAACGTTTTCTCTTGATTTTGGACGAAATTCTACTTTAATTTCATTATTATATAATTAATGTTAAAGTCTTTAATAGGTTCCTGAATTGAAATTTTAATTAAAATTTTAAATTAATACGTGATTATATTTTTCAAGAAACCACAAATTGGTATTTTCTAACAATTTTATTTTGTCATAAACTAATTTTAAAGATTCAATAATAAAATTCTTATAAAATAATTTAAAGAGTTAATTAGTTAATTTTTTTTTTGTCAATGAAATTATATTCAACATGGAATTAGAAGGTAGTAACTACTAATAAAACAATTAATTGAGCAAATAATAAATGGAAAACTCTAACAAACAAACCCATGAAAAGACCAACTTGTCGTTGGATTGAAAACCAAACAATGGTGGGGCTGTAACTCTATTCGACTTCATGGCACCATCCTCGCCTCCGCCGTCCGATAATTCCGACGCCGAGCGCCGCCTTCGCGAAGCGGAGGAGCGCCTCCGTGACGCCATCGAGGAACTCCAGCTGCGGCAGCGCCGCGCCGCCTTTCATGCTCAGCACCACCGCCGCGTCGACTCGCCGCCCTGCGATCATGGCCCCGACGAGTCCTGTGTCGCTCACGCAATTGGCAACCTCTGCCAGACCTTCCTTCTCTCCTATGGCGTCAGAGTCGGTATTGGCATACTCCTCCGCGCCTTCAAGCTCGTTCGGAGGCAGTCCTACTCCTCTCTCCTCGATCTCAAGGTTACTTCAAATCAAATTAGGGTTCCTAATTGCCGTTCTTTTACAACATTGATTTTTTACTTATATCAAATTTCTTCCTCGTGTCAGATTTGAGGTTTGTTTGTTTAGCTGAAAGATTCTCTCTTAAAATTCAGTTATGTTTTGATCGGAATGAGCAGAAAGTAACAGAATCGACGTTTTGAAGTAGCTTGAAGCGGAATTTAAAGCAATTGCGCTTTTGATTTGATTTATTTTAATATATTCTATTGAAATTGATCGAACAGATGTTATTTAGTTCGGTTCAATTCTTTTGTAGCTAACATTATTGAGTGGGATGGTTGAGGTTTTGTAGTTTTTAGTTGTTGTTAGGAAATATGTATGTTGCGTGGAAGTATTGGCAGTAGTGTTGTAGGTGTTAGCATCTCGGTGTATGAGGTTATCGATATTGTTTTTATGTTTTGTTTCCAGCAACTTGTTTCAGAGAAAGATCTAATAGTAAGGGAAGAAGCATGCCGAATTGGTTTACTTTTTGGTGGTTTCACTGGATCTTATCATGCTCTTAGATGTTTGTTGCGTAAATTGAGAAAGAAAGAAGCACCACTTAATGCGTAAGTTGCAGCTCGAACCACTTCCTGGATTTATTCTTCTAGCGTCTCTATTGATTTTTTTTATTTTATTCTTTCAAGTTTTTGTTCATATATATTGAAAATACTTGGATATTGTTTTATGCTGTTTATGTTTGCATGTGTTGCTTATTTATAACTTTGTTTAAGGGGATGATGGTGCAGAATTTTAGCAGGTTCAATAGCTGGTTTCTCAATTTTGGCGTTGAATGATTCAAATAGGAGACGTACACTGGCTTTATACCTGTTGGCCAGGCTTGCCCAGGTATTCGAAAGTGAATCCCCAAAATGATTTGAGCAATCTGACTTAACATTGATGTATTTAATGCATTTTTAGCCTCTTGAAAATAATTTGCATATGCCAGGCTAATACATATTCTTCTATATCAGTGTGCTTATAACTCTGCAAAATCTAAGAACAAGTTTCACCTTTGGGGGAGTCATTGGAGGCATGGAGATTCTTTGCTGTTTGCCATAGCTTGTGCACAGGTGTTCAATCCTCATTCTGACTTTTCAGGCTTGGGTTTTACACTCAACTTCACTCTTGTAAAGTTTGTGTGCTTGACAATTGATTTTGGTAAAATAACCATAAAATTAGTGGGAAGCGTTTTTATGCATATCAGCAATAATGCTATTTGTTGCGAAAGCTTTTATATGTTGTTACAAATGCCACAACCAATCATGGCGAGAGAAAAAAAAATAATAGTTGTTGGACAAAATCCAATACTTTTTACCTTTCTTACAAATCATTTCACAATAACACATTTCTACCGTTTAGCATTTTCTTATAAATATCCTAGAGAAGCTGAGAGAATGTTTATTCTGTCTGTACTTTAATAAAGCCCATGTAGCTGATTCCTCCTAGTGAGACGAGGTTTGGTTATTTTACAAAAGGAATAGAAAGAGAAGTATGGAGATCTAAGGAAGGAGGCAACTACAATGGGGTTTATCTGCTTTTCTCAGGCTTCCCTTGTGTTCACACAAAAATACAATGGGTGTAGTTTAAATGAAATACAACTTTTAATCAAAATCTATGAGGCAGGCACCACTAGATGTCCAACCCACTTGAGACACACTTGTAGTTTTTGGAATTTGTTATCATCAGACCTTGGATAGAGGCTGAGGCTTAAAGAAGAGTCACCAACTAGCTCTCTGATTATGCATAATGTATATATATCATCCCCATGCCCGAAATGTTAAGTAGATTACCTTGTATAACTGCTATTAATGTCTTTGACTTGATTATTTCTAGTGAGATGCTTTGTGGGTTCCTCAATGCCTGCAAAATATTTGTCATTATGGTTTTCATGTAAATCTTAAATTTTTTGTCTATATCATGTCATCTTCTATCATGTCTCATGAAAATACTTTTATTAATTTTACAATAAAAAAAATAATTTCAGGTTATGTATGCCTTTGTTATGCGTCCTGAGAGCTTGCCAAAATCCTATCAAGATTTCATTCAAAAAACTGGGCCAGTTGCAGAGCCTGTGTACAAGGCCGTGAGGGATAGCTGTAGAGGTCATCCAGTTGATGTTGCTTCACTGCATACCTATTTATCTCATGTAGGAAGGTCTGACTATGTAAAGTTGGAAGAATTTCCGTCCATTATTCCATGTTCCATCATTCATCCTGGAACAAATTCATGTTTAGCCCATCAAGTAAATGCAACATCAACAACGTTTAAGAAAACATTCCCGCTTTATTTCTCTTTGACCTTTGTGCCTTTTGTTGTTCTGCACCTACAGAAGGTATTCTTTTACAAATTATTTGTTACTTGTATATCAGCAAATCAAATACTTGCATAATTTATCAAGAAAATAGTTTTATGTAAAAAAAAAACTGGTATGCATAATTTGGAAGTGTTTGTGGCAATCGTCCTTTCTAAGTGCTCTGGAAGATAAACACAACTAAGTAAATTGCTCCCGGCTAAGTTCCATTTTTTATTTTGTGGACATAAACTTTAAATTTTAATTTTATGCATTGTTAGTGTAAAACACACTGTCAAGTATGACTTGGAAGGTATTGTTATTGTAAAAGTCAACAAACTTAATCATATAACCTATACTCTTAACTTTATGCCCATAACTTTGCTACTGCCGTTCTTTGTTTTAATTTAAATTAACACTGAAAGTAGAAATTTGTGTTTGAAATTCTTATTTTTTCCTTTTCATTCAATTTAGTATATGAGAATAATTAATTGAAGAGCTTTTCAAAGTTCATTACTAATTCCCAGTTTCCTCTTGAGGATTTCTTAAACATAGGCCCCATATCTTTGTCCTACTATAGTACACTCGTTTAGATGCCTCAGTTCCCGTAGTATGAATTTGTTCATTAGGATTTAGGTGGTCAAATTCTTGTGACGGTTTCTTTTAATCTTGATTTCATTCATGACCTTTTTCTTTATCAACAATGTGATTGTTTTGGACTTTCCAATGTCATTACCTGATTTTAAGTGAAACAAATGTTTTACTGAAATCGTGCTAACTTTGAGATTGAGTTGCTTTTGTGCTTTGAATAAGATAGCTAACCGTCTTTTGTTCATGTCAACCAATGTCAGAACTCTTGCTTTAATTGCTGACATTTCTTTTTGCTGATGAGAAAGTTCATTTTTCAGTTCACTGATGCTCCTTTCCGTACTTTCTGGCTTGCCATTAAAGGTGGTGTTCGCTCAACGACCTTTTTGTCTGCTTTTGTTGGAATCTTTCAGGTGTATTTTTGTGTTGTTCCCGTTGTTATTATTATTAATAATCTCTTTTATTATATATAAATGTAATATTAATGTTCTGCTTGTCTTTCTGGTTAATGCAGGGAGTAATATGTTTACATAGAAAAGTTTTTTCAAGAGATCACAAGCTGGTATATTGGATAGCAGGTGGAATATCTGCCCTATCTGTGCTATTGGAAAAAAAGGCTAAGCGTGGTGAGCTAGCTTTATATGTTCTTCCCAGAGCAGGAGATTCTTTATGGTATATCTTGGTGAACAGGCACCTCCTTCCAAATATCAGGAATGCCGAGGTATTTTATCCAGTATAGTTTTGTTTTGTTTTCTTAAAGAAAAGAAGGTATATAAAAGCATCACTTCATAATTCCAACTTGCTTGACGTCCCAAGTTATATCAATCAATTTTAGCATACCCAAATATCATAAAAAATAACAAAAAAAAAGAGAGGGAAGTACTATTCCAAAACCCACTAAATAAAAAAACCTTTAACTAGGTAGATTCTATCTATTCCTACAGAAATCAAATTTATAAAATCTGGAATAAGATCCTGCCACATAGTACATCTATGTATCAAAAGCAACAAGTTTGTCAGCATAATTGTTTCCCTCTCATATATATAAGAGATACATGAAATCTCATATTCCTGAAGCCAACACAACATATTCTGCCACCAATTTTGAAGATGTCAAGGAACAATGGGGGCGTAGAGTCACTTTCAATCCATAAGCTATGCCATCTCTTTCCACCAAGATTTGATCGAGAACATGTAAGATCCATGTTGACAAGTATCCTGGCAAAGGGACCAAAATATTTATTCCAAGTAGCTTCTTGGACTTGGAAGCATTTGAAGCCAAGAACTCATGCTATAGTCTCGGCCATGATCAAAGAAACAAAGAAAATAAGTGGAAAATTGAAAAACAAAAATGGATTAAGGAGGAACTATGAAGAACATGCTAATTTACTTGAACTAAAGATAAGTGTAATGTTGATTCAATTCTTGATGAAGCTCCCAAAGCTAAGAACTTAAGCAAAGTGTATCAAAACACTAGAGACGTCCAAATTCTAACAAAACTATTTTCATTCAATACTTAACTGTGGTTTGTACAAGGGAGAGACCCTTTATGTATAGGGTAAGAAAGTGTTCACGAAGCTTCCAAGGAATGGGTAAAAGGAGAAAACTAACACTACCAAGGGGTGATGAATCTCTGTTGGGGCCATGAGGTATGAAGGTGATGTGTGAAGGGAGTTACAACACCCTCAGTAATGAGATGGTTAGGTTCATGAACTTCTACCACCTCCTCATTGATGCATTAGAATTTCTTAGAAACTTCCAGAAACTTTAAATTTGTAACAAAAAGTACCATGCTTCCTAATTTCCTCGTCAAGCTATATTAGTGTTCTTCCTCTTGTTAGCCTTTTTGTAAGCCATCTTTATATATTCTTCCTTCTTCTCTTTGTCATGTTTCTTGTAAGGGCCCCTTAAATTATTTCTCCTCCCTCCTAGCCCTCGTCTTCTCCTTGAATTACATCCTCTCCATCCCTGGTCTCATCATAGGCACACCATACAAATTAGATAATTTTGGGATGCCAATACTCCATGACAATCCATAGATACGAAACCAATCTAGAGCATGAGAATTTCTTTGCTTTTGAGGATTGAAATCAGGGAACCATAGAAAGAGTGAAAGAAAACTAGGATTTAAATTTCAAGAACCTGCAGAAAACACTTGTTTAATATCCTCCGAAGATTCGAAGTAGTATTCAAAATAACCATAAAAAAATTAAATTTTAGTCTCGACAGGATTCCATAGAGATAAAAGTTTATTTTTAAGAGCACCATCCTTTGGAGGAGTATCACCTTTAGAAAGAATGAACCATCCATGATGATGATCCTTGCATCCTTCTAAACCCGCAAGATATTCATCTTCGGGAATTTTGATTGCTATAGCATCAACCTTAAGGCAAGGCCCAGGCTATTGATCCAATTGAAATCCACATTACCTCCCAAAGCTTCCTAGTTTTTTCTTGTAGTAGAACCTGGCTGAGATGATGAATCTTTACCAAAAACAGTAGTAGTAGAAGGCTGAGAAATAAGAAACTTCCAAGGACCAATGTTAGCCATGAAGTTAATAAAAGGTAACAAGAAAAAAGTGCCGTGAATCGCAGGCCTGACGAAAGAGGGTCTTTTGAAGAGAACAAGACATGATTCACCACCAATCACATCTCCAGTTTTCTGTAAACTTCTCAACTTGCACTGAATTAAAGGAAACATTTTTTGATATGTTTTTATAGCATTTTTGAAACACAATTTTCTAGTACTTTAGTAACCACCGTACTTTGTTATGAAATGAATGTTGGTTTTACTAATGGTACCTCTTTAGGATTTTTTTAAGTTCCAATCAGTGCAGTTAGAGAACGTGAGTATTTTGTCAGTTTAAGAACAAAATCTCCCACCATGTCTCAAGTGGCAGTATGCTTACGTTTGTCGCTCACTTATTTTGTCCTTTTCGTAGTTAACCGTGTCCATGATTCTTGTTTACATTTTTCTTTTTGGGTTTAAGGCCCTTAGCAGATTACGCACAGTAGTCGTAGCCTTGCATGACATATAGAAACTGTTTCATTTTATGCTTTCAACTTGTACAGGTTTTCTTGTTTTCTCTGTGTATGGGAGGGATCATGTATTACTTGGAACACGAGCCAGAAACCATGGCTCCATTTTTGAGGGGCCTGATCCGTCGTTTCCTTGCAAGCAGAATCAGCAATCCAAGCCCACCATTTAATCGGACTGCATCCTACGCATACCTGCAAGCTATTGATGGCATGAAACCACCAACATTACAGGAGAAGAGGGATACTGAATCTTCTTCCGAAAAGTACAATCTTGAATCTATTCCTGGGCTTTAACATTACTTTTTTGGGTTGGGGGAAGGGGTGCTCTCTGAACTGATGTTTCTTATTAGGTTATTGGTCATCTTGTATCGGGAGCAAATTATATTAGGTTCCTCATTTTTTTATTGATTACTAATTGAAGGTGCTCTCAGTGTTTGGTGCTTTTCTTTAAGCTTTCGAATTTACGTGCGATTGTAAAAAAGGAAAAATTGTGTTCGATGTATAAATAAATAAACAAAACCATGCTGTGATGATGTCTTCAAATATAATCAAGCGGCTCATGGAACAATTGATTTCCGTGGTGATATTCTGACAAATAAAGGGGCCATAAAAGACTACCCATAATTCTTGTGTGGATTATTTTTAGGTTGAAACTAAATAAATTATTTAAAAAAGAAAGGGGGAGGAGGGGGTGCTCAGCGGATTTTGAGTTCTTGATTATGTATTTGAACTTTTTAAAATATTATAATGTTAAATTGTTAATTAAATATTTGGAGTACATACTATGACGTACAATAAAAAGGGCACTTCAGAATAAATGTTTGAGGTAGTTTGGACGCATTCTAAGTAGGTGTATTCATGATTATTGTTTGAAATCATTTGCAAATCTTCTGCAGATTCATTACAACTTTTTCATTACATTTTGTCTGAGACGAAAATTTACTCCAACAATGTTTTGTACACTATTTAAAACAATACAATCGTTAACATAAATACATAGGCATGCAAAGGGCGGTGCGGCGATTCTCTCTTCTCTTTTAATCGTCTTCGTCTCGATTTCTTTTATTAGTTTTTCTATTCTTGATTTATATTATTTCTAAAAAATATTTATATTTATAATAAATTGATTTTAATATTTTTATCTATTTTTTATATATAAATAAATATTTATATTTTTGTAATTATTATTAATTAAATATATATTTTAATTTATTATATTTATTTTTAAATATGCATGTAAAATCATTATTTAATTTTTTTATACAGATAAAAAAATACTATTAGAAATATGAAATATTACGGTTATTTTAGAAATTTATTATTATTATTATTATTATTATTATTATTATTATTGTTATTATTATAATATTATGGTTAAATATTTGATTGTATATATAAGTTATTTTTTTTTAAGTTATAATTTAAAAATATGAAATATATAATTTATAATAAAATATGTCATATATTCATTCTTATTTAATTATATCAAAATAATAAAAATTTAAATTATCAATTCTAATCCTTTAAAATACAATTATTTTATTATGATAAAATTTGATATATAATAAATAAAAATAATAAGATTCAGAAAATATAACATAATAAAATCTAATAAAGATAAATTATAAATAAACTAATATTAATTATTAATAAGATTTATGTAAAATATTTAAAAAAAGATAAAAAAAAATTAACTTTGTGTTTATTAAATTGATTGAAAGGATTGAAATAAACAAATTGATTAGAGAGATTAAGGAAATGTGAAATGTAAGAGAAAGAAAATAATATAAAGAACTAATTGATATAAAAGATTGAAAAAAACAAAAAATTTAAAAAATGGGTAAAAGACAAATAAAAATGATAAAATATAAAAAATTAACCTTATATTTATATATAATGAAAAAAAAGAAATTTTTAAAATATTAAGATTTTAAAATTTAAATTTTAATATAAAATTGATGCGAGGATGAGACCGAGATTGTATTACCCATCCCTCAGTATCCACCCTCGATCTTGATTTTATAAAATAGAAAAATCTCGAATTCACCTTCATCTCCTATCAAACTCAATTTTTCCTATCAAACTCGGGACAGAAACGTAGATATAAATTTAATTATTATCCCTATAAATACAAGACAATTAAAACAACTCATTTTAAAGAATTTGAAATGTTAACGTATGAATTACTTTAATTTTAATTTTATTTCTCAGACATTTATCTAAGATAAATCAGTTCAATTTTTTATACTTTAAATAAATTTTATTTTCGACACTGCAATTTAATCGACAATTTAAATATACAAATATTGAGTCCTCTACGTCAATATTCATATATAAAAAGAATGACCGGAAAAAGAGAAGGAATGATAAAAATAAATAAATAAATAATAAATGCTGGAAAGAAAAAGAAAGAAAGAGTAGAGATGAGATGAAGGAGAGGGAAGGGAGACAAAGTGAAGATAGAAAAAAATGTGAATCAGTCGGTAAAAGAGTGTACAGGAAAGAGGAAACGTAAAGTTCAAAAATTTTCTCAGTAATATTTAAAACTTTAGTTTTAATTTAAGAACTTGATTTTTTTTAAAGCTAGCATTTATTTTTTTTCGAAACTTTTCAAATATAATCTAATATAAAATATTTTAAATACTCTGAAAAATAATTTATCCTGATAAAATTTCTCGTTCAAACAAATAAATTTCTATATCTTCTTGAAGGAGTAAAGGATAATTTGCCATGAATGATATTTTATATTTTTATATAGTTTTTACTTATTACGATTAGATCTGGACATATAATTAAGATTAAAGAGTTGACAATTAAGCAAGAGAAATAAATAAGATGTATATATACAGTTATTTTCCACCTGATTACCCAGGTTACTTTTATTATTATTATTATTAGTGGTTTTATAAATTTAAGAACATAAGAAAATAACTATTAAAAACAATGACAAAAATTTAGTAAGAATTCAAACAGGCAATCTGTTTACCTAACAAAATTTGTAGGCAAGCAAGCTTGAAAGCAGCTTGGTCTTCAATATAATCTTACATATACTGAGAGAATGGTTTTGTTCTGCTGGATTTTTACAGTGATTTGTACTGTTCAATAAGATGAGACGCATGGAGGCGGGATGTAGGGGTCATGGTGCAACCCAGTTTTTTTAAATATGAAATCTGCGGAAACAATGGAGACGTAAGTCACATCCAAACTACAAATTTACATGCCTAACAATACTCCCAATTTTTTTCTTTTTTAAAAGAAGTACAACAATCCCCCTTTTATACACCGAATCATTATCAAGTTATCTACACTAATAACGAAACAATCCACGAATCTCAAAATGGAAAAGTGAATCCCCCTATGATATGTCACAGCACTAACATTAGGTATTAAATTAGTAAACAAAAGGTATGAATGTACTAAAAAAAAAAAAGTGAAAAATGGTAAGAATACATAGTTAAGTTATCCAATGCCAACCATAGAACTTGTTACTAAAAATCAATACAATTAATTTTCAACGCATTGATAAAGAACCATTTCTTTATAATGTAATAGTAGGTTGCATTGTCTAAATCTAGTAGATAGTGAAAATAGACGCTAGTACTATTGGAAAAAAAATAATCTAAGTTCCTCGTCAATTAAAGATAATATTAAAATACAGTGGATAACTGGAAGTAATTTTCGCTTATAAACCACTTTATAAATTAACAGAGATATTCACAAGATTGAATTAAGTCTAAATAAGATAGAAATAATTCATTCATGCAAAATATTACCGTCAAAACAGGTATTTTAAAAGAAAATGAAACTCATTATAACAGCAATGTAAAAACAATTTTAAACAATTCACATAGTGTTTACAGTTTTTCTAATTATTGAAACAATTATGTTATCAAATTGAACTGATTGAAATTGCATTTTTTCTGAATTTTTATTAAATTGATTATGGAGAATAGCTTCATATCTTAGCGTTTATTAACCATATACAGCAAGATATGAAAGACAAAAAAAAATATAAAAATAAAAGGTCTAACAAGTCCTGTCACCATGAGTTGTACCTGCTTGACAGTTGGTGTTGCCGAACCCATTGCATTCTCAATCTTCAATTTCAGGAAATGTTCCTGAAAAGTGAAAATATATTCTAAGTCTTACATTAAATATCAAAGCCACGGAAATAATGGTTGCTATGTTTATACCTCAATCCCACAAAATTAGCTTTTATGCAAACCACCAGTAGCAGGGAAAAAACTATTGAAACAGAACAGTTACATGTTTAAGGGACTTGGTGGATGATACTTATAAGATATCATGCTGAATTTATCGGGGGAGATTAAGGAAGATAGAACAGAATATTGCATATTCATCCGTATATATATATATATATATATATATATATATATATATATATATATATATATATATATATATATATATATATATATATATATATATATATATATATATAGTCTCTTGATTTAGAACAGAATATTGCATACTAATATTAATTTAGTATCGCTAGGCACTAATACCCATTACTATGAAATGGTAAATGCATTTATCATGTGATACATGAATATTACTATTTCCTAACTGCATTAACAATATTATTAACAAAATAATTAAAACTCAGGACAATATCATACTATTGTAAGATTAAAACTATTCACAAAATTTATACTAATTTTCTAGGTAAAAAATAAGTTTAGTAACACTAATATTCTAATAAATATTGTAAAAATCAAGTAGTAACTAGCGAAAACCCAGCAAACCTGTTTTTCTCTCGTAAGATGTGCACGTTTGTCAACAGGAATTTGCTCCCATCTCAAAACCTATCAGAAATTATATATCAGATTTATATCAGGATATTATGAAGTTTAATTTCTTCTAAATATGCAGTATCCCAGAAATGGAACCATATTTAGTTTAAATAATATGTAGAGGTGCTTACATATTGAGCATACTGAAATGCTTCGTCACATCTTAAACAAATTTTTAATGTATTCAACAATTCCTGAGAATGAAAATAGGTTACAGTTAAGAAGATATTTTGATACAAAATAAAACACGACATTCACACTGTCAGGTGAGATTGGACAACTTACAATCATGAGAACAATACTTTACATACTATTGTAAATGAGAGTAGTATGATAAGAGAAAAAAAAAAAAGAGTCTAAAGATACTTAAAAAAGGAATATTTAAATAAACCCATAGACCCTAGAACCTTTACATTCAAGCACATTAATTTTATTCTTAAAGCAGTGTCATCAATTACTTATCAAATACATATTGAATGTAGGGGGAGAAGTAATAAACATCTAAACCTATAGCATAACGGCCACATTGAGATGTTAAAAAATATATTTATAATTGTATACAAATTAAGATAAATGCAAATAAAAACAAAATGAATAAAAATTGACATTATATTAACTCAAAAATCTAGTTGGTTGAAGACTTGTTAGAGATGACAAGACATGAGGCAACCAAGACATCCAGAGTGGCCGCAAAAAGAACAGATACAGTTGCAATTGTAGATCCAAGAATTTCGCAACGTAAGATTGGTATAGAACTAATATAGTGACTATTCAAACTCTTCAACAAATATCCTGATATCATTTATTGAATATTAAAAAAATATTGAACAAAAGCCGAATAATAATATAAACATCCACTTCAACGTCAATGACAAAAAAAAAACAAGCTAAATACGCTCTCAAAGTTTGTCAAAACAAAGTACACACGGTAGAAAACAAAGTACACACAATAGAGAGAACAATAGGCAGCATAAAACAGACAGCTCAGAAAATTATGGATTTTGCTGGACCTTGTTTTTGTTTCCCTTCTGTCTGAGGCGTTCATCAATTACAAAACTAACCTGATGATCAGACAAAGTAATTCAGTTATCAAAAATGAAAATATAAATTGTATATAATGTATGAAAACATTATTGACATTTAAATTATAATAACTATTCCCTCTGTTTCAAATTAAACAATGTTTAGGGACAATTTATTAAGCTTGTCACGGGGATGGTGGATGTTAGTGGTAAGTTTAAAAAACTACATGCAACCACCCAAACGGACTCTAAATTGTCATTATTGTTGCTGAATTTCTAATTGGTTAATAATGTAATTTTCACAGTAATAGAATCTGAAAATTAAACTCTGATTATTTTTTCTATTTTAACATCTCATGGTGATATGTTGATTCAATTATATTTGCTCCTCCCACTATCGCATAAAAAAAGGTCTGCTCACTTGATATCTCAACTGGTATGTATATGTCTGAAATTTTAGGAGAAGATAATGATCTTTAATATTATTAATTGATCAGTATTACATGAGTTAGATACGCAAAGATGACTAGGAGAGTTGCTAATCACCTTGATTACATAATAAATCCAAGGATGAGAAAGGAAGAAAATAAAAAAGCAAATTAAATTCTACCTAAATATCTAAACTACTAACTATACTAGAGTAAAGAAAAATCGAAATCAAATTTAAATTACCTAATATTGATCTTAACAGCCTAAATCTTCTAGAAAGCTTATAAGAAATTTAAATTTAAAATAATAGTACTGCAGTTATCACAAAAATAGATTGATAGATAGGTATAAATCCAGATATATAATCACCTTGTCAAGCAATCTCTTTGGATCTTGAAATGCTTTCTTTTTGGCCCATTGATGGAATAAATGGGAAACAATAGACCTGTCCTCAACACTAAATCTGCAAAAAAGCTTATACGTAATGATTAACATAATGTTCAAAAATCAAATACAGCTTAGATCAATCACAAATATTAGTTATATGATCATTGAAATATAGAAACCTTCTTAAAAAATAATTTCCATTGTTTGTCTCAGCAAATTGTGCAAACTCATTGGAAGTCTCACTAGAATCTTCAGATTGTTTCTCTTTTATCAACAATTCAGTGGCACGATGGGTAGTGTCCTTTTGAAGAGGTTCGCGTCTCATTTGTAGTTCTTGCAAATTTATTTCACCCTACACGAGAATACACAATTCACTGAACTTATGCTGTTAAACTTAAACATAAATGTGATATTCCCAGAACCTAGATACATGCTACCAAGAAGATGTTGCATTTGGTTAAGCAACACAAAGGAACAGTGTTTTTTAATACGGTCTAACAAGTATCAAGCACCATCCATAAACACAATTCCAACCAGACTCTCGCACTATGAAATTTGATAAAAAAGGAAAAAAGCGCTAACATAAGACAATTGACTGTTGTAAATATCTCTGCTAGCTACCCATAGGACAATGTGAAATTCCCAGTAGTTAGGGAGTGTAGATTAAAGTAAAATCTGCATTGTACTCAATTATGAGTGAGAGGGTGCTGGGACCATTTTCTGTTTCTTTAAAGCAATTTTTAAAATTCAAGTCAGCATCCTAAGCTGGTTATTTTTCTCTCCTGTCACGATCAACTCCAAGCACTGCAGTGAACACTTGAGAGAGTCTCCAATCACAAAACTTCGTTAATTTTTGCATTACATACAATTACTGGGCTCGGCGTGATATGGTTGAATAACTTTGTTTAAAAGCTCAACCTTTTATTAATTATATTTAAATATTTAAATGATGAGACCTTATTTGATAAATCATAGCTACCTCCAATATGTGATTAACACGTGTTTGTTATCCTTGAGATGTCGAAGATATTGACAAAACTGTCAAATTTTCATTTCTTTCTTTTTTTAATTTTTAGACCATGTATTCCTAGTTCACTGTGATCCGTAGGCTGGTGAGGCTAAAGATAATTTGAGTTAGTGTTAACCATTGTGCTGAGCATGGTTTTAGAGTGGATCATGACAATTGAAAGGGTATGTATTTCAAAGAACTTTTGTACTATAGTTGATCAAAGTAAGTTATAAGAAGGCAAGAAGACATACCTGAACTTCTATAAGATGACAAGGGATTTCTTTCAAAAATCTTGAAGGTTGAAGCACCTAGAGATGCACAGAGTTAGCAAAACCCGACAGCTAAAAAAGTTGAGTTTGAATTGACAAACCTGCCAATTTGAGTCCATCAAAACATAAAGAATAAAAAGCTTCTGTCGAGCACGAGTCATTGCAACATATAATAAGCGTCTTTCTTCCTAGAAATGACATAAGTAGAATCACAATTTAAAACAATCCAGTTGAAGACGAATGAACATATGAATAATCCATCCAACTAAAAAACAATAATAATGTACCTCAACCAAGGCTGCAGTGTCCTTTACAGTACCCTTGAAATCATGTAATAGAGGGATCTCAGAGTCATTTGCCTATTTCATACAACAAATTATCAGTGAAAGAAATACAGCCGAAAAACAAAGAAAGGTAATTTATAACTTGTTGAATAAACCAAGGAACTATGTCCCCTACACAAGATAGTTAAACAACAAAAGTCAAAGCACAATAAAGATAAACTTCTCAATCTTCAAAACTATGACATTTTAACTTTAAAACATTAACCAGAATAGTCTAATCCTACTAGCTGAGGTCGGCTACATAAACCATACAACACCATTGAGCTTAGCTAAAAACTAATTCACAAGAAACCTAGTTAACTTCGTGACACAATATTTAATTAATAATTTAATATCAGTTGGTGATTTCCAAGGAGCAGTTGCAAGTCATGTTGCAGAACCAGGTTCAAATGTCAGTCAACAAATTGTTAAAGGGTCAAAAGCAAAAAATAACTTGAACTTTTTCAAGTAACAATAAAAGAATATGTCAAACAAAGCAAGAAATTACTATACATGAATAAGGTAATCACATATAAGAATCATCTGACAACAATCATGTGTTTCTTTAGTACTAAAACCGCAACAATTTGATAATTGTTGTAACTCAATCTTCAATTACTTTCTGAACGGAAAATAAAGTCTGTATGGTCATGTTGCAGTTGACTTCCAATAAGCAGCTGTATGATCATGTTGCAGCTTATTGAGGTTTAAATATATTCCATTACTTGCTTAAGATATCACATATTCCCCAACTTGCTTAAGAGTTTGTCAAAGAACAATCACATACCTTAACTATGAAGACAACATCCCACTCTAAACCTTTTGCCTGGAGGTAGAAAAAATAAATAAAACCTTCATTATCGTTGAGCTAAAACTTAATTAGATATTAATCAATTGATACAGGTACCTGATGAATGGTAGTCAGTGTCACAGAGTTATCATTGTCCCTCCTCCGAGCTCGGAAATTTTCTCTCTCACGCTCAAATAAATAATCAATGAATGCTTTTAAAACAAAAATGCAGCCCTTATCTTCTGGTATGTCCCTTTCCCCTTTTACCTCAACTAATTTAGTTGATAGAAACTCAGAGACATCATCTAACAGGTACTGAAGAACCTGAAGAAAGGTGTAATCCAAACAATGGGTGAACAAGGTCCTGATCAAAATGAATTTAACATGACAAAAAAAATACGAAGTTATATTTGAAATTATAAAATTTAGACAATATGTTCCTTCAAAAAATTTATGCCATCAGCATATATTGCAGTTTGCAGACAATTCTTTTCAAAGAGAGCAGTGACTTTCAAAAGGATCATTGTGGTAGAATAAGTACGACCCACATTTATGTTAGGAGAAATGTTTATCCACGTATGCAAATTGTGGAAAATATCCTAGATATTTTAAGATATAAAAAATATATCTTTGTTTCTTGATAATCTTTTTTTATATTGTTTCATTATTTCCCTTCTAGGCTTAGTGGTTTACCCTGTAAAAGGGAGATTAGAGCTTGCATTAAAGATATACTGAATATATCAAAGTTCCTTTTCCTTTAACTTGGTATCAAAGATCCCATTCATGAGGGCTGTTTTCACTGTTCAGTATTAATGCCTCTCTGCTGCCTACAGGACAAGTGGGCTAACCAGGAGGTGTGACTCCCCATGTTCACGTCCAAGACTGTTCATATGGTATAACTTTCTCTTCAGCACCGATTTTCCAGTGTTTCTTGCTTCGCAATTGCCTCTAGCCTTCTCCATTGTCTTCCATGAGAGGAACAAGGTGGCCGTTTTGGGTCCCAATGAACTTAAGCTTTCAAGCTCTTGCTCTTTTACCATGAAAAGGTAAGAGTTCTTTCAATATTTTGACTTTTGTTCCTCAAATATATTTGGGTCCTTGACTCCAGGGCCACAAATCATATCATGACTCTCTCGTACTCCACATTACCCTGAAAACAACTCATTACAGTTGCTAATGGAGATCATGTTCCTACAGTTAGATCTGACAAAATTCAACTCTAATTATCCTTATACTTACACAATTTCCTCCATGTTCTTAAATTGACTGATAATTTTACCTCTATACATTGACACAACTCTATACCCCTTTTTCTTTCTCATTGTGTATTTCAAGACCTTGTCATATGGGGAGGACAATTGGACTTACTAAAACAAGGTGGGTTATATTTCTTGTAACACGTGAAGAATGAAAGTGCCACCAGAAAAAAAGTGTTGTCTTCCGGTCAACAACCAATTCCCCAATTCCAAGCCTTCAATGTGGTGGCTTTTTAGATGTTGCTTTTGTCCATTCTCATAGTCAATCAATATTGTTGTGAGCTAGATCCAAGAACTATCAAATGTATTTTTGTTGCCTATCCCATACATATAAAATGGGTACAATTCTTATCACCCTCAGAGTTGCTAAATTGGTTTGTATGGATGATATATTTCATGAAATAGAATCATTTTATGTCAACACTCAACTTCAAGGGAAAAGTAGCAAAAATATTGAGTCATCACCATTTTCTCACTCTGGATGCCACCCATCCCAAAATTGTTCCAAGTCAAACATGCTTAGTTATGAGTTTTTATGTGATGATCTACCAAAACTAGATGCATCTTGTTGGCATTGGTAGTTAATTATTTTTAAGCTACCATCAATTGTATAGTCCCAAACTTGCATAGCTTCATGATCCCAGGCGTTTTGTTTGCGACTCATCTCTTTTTGTATCAATGATCACTCCTCACCATTGTTACTGCCAAAAAAGTTACTTTTTAGGCATACATCACCAACACCATAGTAATGTTATTGCACAAGTTCTGAGACAACTCGTGATGATATAACAAAGGTCATGCAAGACTCTTTCCCAACACCTTTCCTAGGATTTGGGCTTTCCCCATAACATTGATTGGTCTATTAGTCCGGTATTTGTTTCACTCATAACCCATTTTCTTATTATGTTAACTATTATCATCATTGTCTTTCTCCTTTTCATTATAGTTGTCTATCTCCTGTATCTATCCCTAACTCTTCAAGTGAAGCACGATCTTACCCAGAATGGTGGCAAAAATTGATTGATGAGATGTGTACACTCCAAAGTAGTGGTTCTTGGAATTTGGTCTCTCTTCTGCCTGGCAAATCCATTGCTAGTTGTTGTCACTGGCTTTACATCTTATAGGCAAGATTACATTAATACTTTCTCTATAGTGTCTATCCGCCTATTATTCTCCATGGTCACCATTGTTAGATATGATTAGATATTAGTTGATATTATTTGATATTGTTGAGATATTGTTAGATATTGTTAATCACAATATCAAATAATATCTTTTATTTACCCTATTTTGTATTCTGTTACTCTTTTGAGGAGTACCTTTCTTTATTATAAATACACTGCCCTATGTGTGGTAAATACATAAGGGAAAATTAACCCTATACAATTTTTCCTATATTCAACATGGTACATTGAGCTTAAGGTCTCTTGGGATTTTTTTCGGCTCTGCCACTGAACCTGCAGCCATCGCCGCCACCGTCGCCACCGCCGTCCGCTGCCGCCGCCACCGCCGTCGCCGGAGTAGCAGTTCGGACCGCCGAGCACAGGGTTTTGCTCGCCTCCTCCGTGCGACCTCCACCATGGAAGTTTCGCGGTCATCGGAGCAACCACGCTCCCCCACGCGCCTCCCGAAGCCCGCCACCTTCTCCCGTTCCGCCGCGCGTGGCGGCGCGTCTCGCCGCCGTTCAGGCCGCCACTCTTTGCGCCGGCGTCGCCTCCTTCTCCTCTCTCTGGATCTGTCCTCGCTGCTCCAATCGGACCTCTTTGGTGTTTTAGGATTTTTCTCTCCCTTCCTCCATGGCATCTTCCGCTGCCACTTCCAATTCTGAAGTTACCTCTGTCAGCTCCGGTGGGTCTGAACAATCTGTTTTTACTAATTATGTCAATGTGAATTTACCCATTGATAAATTAGATGGTACGAATTATGCAACTTGGGCATCTGATATTAGACTTTGGCTTGAGAGTCAGGGGTATGTTGATCATCTTACTACCAAGGTAGATGATGTTCCTTCCAATGATCGTGTCCGTTGGAAGAAAGTTGATGCTCATATATGTATGGTTCTCAAGAATACCATCCAATCTTCTTTAAAACAAATTTTTAGATCGTATGGCACATGTTATGACGTTTGGGAACAAGCCAAATTATTATACACCAATGACACTCAACGTCTTTATGGTGTTTGTTACAATCTTCTTGATGTCATTGCTCCTCGAGATAAGGATCCTGTAGCGGATTATGTGGGTAAGATCCATGCTCTTCTCCATGAATTTAATGAGTTATTACCCCCTGCCTCGACTCCTGCCCAAGAATTAGAGCAACGATCAAAGTTTTTCATGGTTTTGATGTTACACGGACTTGCTTGATAAATATGCCCTGTTCGTGACCAGATTTTGGGTTCCCCTGTTACACCCAGTTTACTGCTACCAGTTCCTCCCTTTTGCGGGTGCCATGTAAACCTCTCAATATTCCCCCTGTAGTTTCTAATGATTCATCTGCCTTGGCCTCTCACCGTGATGATCGTAATCGCTCTCATAAGCCGGGCAAAGGGCGTGTCAAGTGTGACCATTGTGGCGAGACTAGGCCACAAAATTGACAAATGTTATGCTTTACATGGTTATCCTCGCCGATCTGCTGCAGGTTGCTCGGACCGATTCTTCGCACAATCCTCTGCTGTGGATCCTCCTTCGTCTGTACCTTCAGACAAATCTGCTATCTTCAATGATTTTCTTCAATGGTATGAGGATCGAAAGCCCTCCAGGTTCCACTACTTCGTTGCCCACACAGGTACATCTTTTCTTGAGTCGACTCACTCTTCTTCTATTGGCTCTTGGGTTCTTGACTCGGGCGCCACCGATCACATCACTGGTAACAAATCCTTATTTTCCTCTTTCACTTCTTCTCATAATTTACCCTCTCGTTACAATGGCTAATGGGTCTACAACTTTAGCTCATGGTGTTGGAACGGTTACTCTTTTCCCTCGTTGTCCATTGATAATGTTTTGTATGTACCGGGTCCCCCTTTAACTTATTATCCATTAGCCGTCTAACTCGATCTCTTGATTGTGTTATCTCTTTTACCAAAGCTTCGTTTCCCTACAGGACCGGAGCTCGCAAAGAGTGATTGGCACCGGATGTGAGTCACATGGACTTTATTATCTTCAACCCTCTCCACATGTTGGCACGAGTTATGGAGTCTCCTTCTCTCCTTCATGCTCGGCTTGGTCACCCCAGTCTGCGAAAATTACGGCAACTTGTTCCCAGCTTATCCCGAGTTGTCCAATTTGGTGTGTGAGTCCTGTCGGTTAGGCAAACATAGTCGTACTTCCTTTTCTCGTAGTGTTTCCCAGCGTGCTTCATCCCCCTTTGCCTTAGTTCACTCGACATTTGGGGACCCGAGTCGTGTTAAGTCTAATTTAGGTTTTCAATATTTTGTTACTTTTATTGATGATTTCTCTCGTTGTACTTGGTTATTTTTAATGAAAAATCGTTACGAGTTGTTTTCTATATTCCAAAACTTTTATCATGAAATTAAAAATCAATTTGGTGTCTCTATTCAAACTTTTCGAAGTGATAATGGCCGTGAATATCTTTCAAACTCGTTTAAACAATTTATGGCTTCTCATGGCATTCTTCATCAAACTTCCTGTGCTTATACCCTCAACAAAATGGGGTAGCTGAGCGCAAGAATAGACACCTTATTGAAACAACCCGTACTCTTTTAATTCATGGTGAGGTTCCTCAACATTTTTGGGATGATGTCGTTCTTACTCGCTCGTTATCTTATTAATCGTATGCCCTCTTCGGTTTTAGATAACAAAATTCCCCATTCTATTTTATTTCCTCATGACACTCTCCATCCTTTACCTCTCGAAGGTTTTTTGGTCTACCTGTTTTGTCCACAATTTTGATCCCGAGTCATGATAAGTTATCTCCTCGGTCACACAAATGTGTTTTCTTAGGATTTACTCGATCCCAAAAAGGATACAAGTGTTTTTCTCCTTCTCTTAATCGCTATTTTGTGTCTGCCGATGCCACCTTCAATGAGTTTTCATTTTACTTTAAGGACCCTTCCCTACCTGCTGAGTCTCCATCTCGCTACAGTTCCCATTCCTGTTCTCATTGATCCTTATGTTGAGGACCATCCACCATTAGCCCCTCCTCCTCCACCACCCCTTCAGGTTTATAGTCGCGAGACCTCGCCCACAACAGTACGCCACATGACTCACTTCCGAGTGCCAAATACTCTGCCTCCTCCGGTTCCGTCCACGAGTCCGACCTTCCTATTGCCCTTCGTAAAGGTACGCGTTCTACTCGTAATCCTTCTCCACATTATACCTGCTTTAAGTTATCATCGAATTTCTTCACCATTTTATATCTGTCTCTCGTCTATTTCTTCTATGTCTATTCCTAAATCTGTCTCTGAAGACTTAGCCCACCCTGGTTGGCGTCAGGCCATGCTAGATGAACTCGGTGCTCTTCAGACTAGTAGAACCTGGACGCTTGTCCCATTACCATCTGGAAAATCTGTTGTTGGTTGCAAGTGGGTCTTCGCTATCAAGGTTGGTCCTGATGGTACTATTGATCGCCTCAAAGCTCGCCTTGTAGCCAAAGGCTATACCCAAATTTTTGGGTTGGATTATGGTGATACTTTCTCTCCAATGGCAAAGATGGCTTCGTTCGTTTATTCATTGTCATGGCTGCTATTCAACAATGGCCTCTTTATCAACTGGATGTCAAAAATGTTTTCTTGAATGGCGATTTGCAAGAAGAGATTTATATGGAGC